AGAGAGAGAGAGAGAGAGAGAGAGAGAGAGAGAGAGAGAGAGAGAGAGAGAGAGAGAGAGAGAGAGAGAGAGAGAGAGAGAGAGAGAGAGAGAGAGAGAGGGGGGTAGAGAGATATATGGAGGGAGAGAGAAGAGAGAAGATAGATATATAGATAGAGAGAGATGAGAGAGAGAGAGAGAGAGAATAGAGACAGAAAAAAAGAGGAGAGAGAGAGAGAGAGAGAGAGAGAGAGAGAGAGAGAGAGAGAGAGAGAGAGAGAGAGAGAGAGAGAGAGAGAGAGAGAGAGAGAGAGAGAGAGAGAGAGAGAGAGAGAGAGAGAGAGAATGGGAGAGATGGATAGGTAGATGGATGGATAGATGAATGGATGGATAAAGATGATAGATGATCGATATATCGATATAGGTAGATGAGTGAGATAGATAGATAGATAATAGACAGATAAACAGATAGATGATGGATAGATAGATATGGAGAGAAAGAGATGGATAGAAGATGGATGGATAGATAGGTAGATAGACAAATAGATGATAGAGAAAGAGAGAGGTGGGTAAGTAGGTGGATAGTTGGCTAGATGGATGGATGGACGGACAGACAGACAAACAGATAGATAGAACATGCATACATAGATACATAAATACATAGATACATAGACAGATAAACAGATAGGTGATGGATGGATAGATAGATAGACAAAGAGAGAGAGAATGAAAGAGAGAAATAGATAGATAGATAGATAGATAGATAGATAGATAGATAGATAGATGGATAGATACAGACAGACAGACAGACAGACAGACAGATAGATAGATGCATACATGCATACATACATAGATACATAGACAGATGATAGATAAACAGATAGGACAGATGATGGATGGATAGATAGGTAGACAAACAGAGAGAATGAAAGACAGAAAGAGATAGATAGACAGACAGATAGATAGACAGACAGACAGACAGATAGATAAATGCATACATACATACATACATACATACATACATACATACATACATACATACATACATACATAGACAAATGATAGATAAACAGATAGGACAGATGATGGATGGATAGACAGGAAGTCAGAGAGATAGATAGATAGATGGATGGATGGATGGATGGATGGATGGATGGATGGATAAACAGACAGACAGACAAACAGAGAGACAGACAGAGAGGGTCTCAGAAGGGACCCTCCCTAGTTTCTTGGGCCGTGAGGGGTGGGGGAGGGAAAGAGGCACTTTGAGACTTTCTGTCCATGGAACCATCCAATAAAAATCCCGGCTGAGGTGTCTTATCTGATCCGCCTGGCAAGGCAGACAATCGGATGGCAGTTTCTCTTCTTCAGCTGCTGAGAACCTGCCAGACTGTCAAGTGGAAAGTGCCTTAGATACCCCCTCAGGGCAGGGAGAAGAATCTCGGTGGCCTCCGGTTGACGCCTTTCTCTTTCTTCACCTCAGCGCCTGGAAAATACCTGAGCCCTTTTTTTTCAGGCTGCGGCGAGTTTCTTCCTTCAGCAAAGAAAAAAAACCCCGTGACTTTTTTTTTTTAAGGCTGGCATTTTCATGAACCTCCCCAGGGAATCATCCTGTAAGGTTTTTAAAAAGTTCTTAAAAAGTGTTCAAAAAGCTCTTAGAAAGTTTTTAAAAAGTTTTAAAAAAGTTTTTGGAAAGTTTTTAAAAAGTTTTTGGAAAGTTTTTAAAAAGTTTTTGGAAAGTTTTAAAAAAGTTTTTGAAAGTTTCTTTAAAAAATTTAAAATTCCAAAGAAAGTGTTTTAGAGTTTTAAAGTTGGAGCTTTAAAATTAGAGTTTTCAAGAAGTTTTAAAAGTGTTCAAAAGTTTTAATTTTTTTTTTCAAAAGCTCTAAAGACTTTAAAAAGGTTTCAAGTTTTTAAAAATGTTTTTTTACAGTTTTTTTTAAAAAGTCTTAAAAGATTTTTTTTTTTAAAGGGTTCAGGAAGAGTAAACTTTCGAAAACCAAGCAAATCTTTCCCCCAGCAAATTGTACAGCAGCCATTCTCAAACTTGGCCACTTTGCGGGGGGTGGGGGTGGACTTCAACTCCCAGAATTCCCTCCCAGCAGAGTTGGCGTCCACCCAATACCATTAAATGCAATTTTTAAATCCACAGAAATTGCACTAATCCAATTCATGGGCGTTTAAAAGACCGACAGCGATAAAGTCGGCTTTACAAACATCGTTCAAAGTTTGAACAGTCACTAAACGAGGACGTTGCAAGTCGAGGGCGGTGGGGGGGAGAGGGTTGGACTAGAAGACCTCCAAAGTCCCTTCCATGCTGCTATGCTCGCACATCAACCCAGCCAAGATGGTAGCATCTCCTTGTGGTTTTGCTTTTTTTCCCTGACCTTGGGGAAACTGAGTCACGTGCCCGAGCCGCAGCACGCAACCCAGCCAGCCGCCCGGACTTGTTCCACACAAACCCCATGCTCGGTTCAGCCACCCACACGGCTCGCGGCGGGGTGAATAAGCAGTTTCGCTGAGTGGTTACAGAGAGCGGGCGAGGCCTCCTCCGCGCCCTGGGCAACCTGGCACCCGACAGCCGAGTGCTGCTGCCGGAAAAGCGTGGGAAAACGGCCCTTTTTGCCCTCCCTGGGGCTGGGCGGAGGCCTCGCTGCGGTGGCCCCGGGCCAGCAGTGTGCTTGGCATTCCTGGGAGAGAGTTATGGGGCTCCTGTCCAGGGCCTCGGGCACCCCGCTCGGGAAAGGGATTTACCGACAGCTGAGGGGGGGTGGGTGAGCTGAGCAATCCATGCAATTGTTTGCACAGTTTCTCTGTTTCTTGGTTTGTGGTTTGTTTGTTTGTTTGCAGGCCCCTGGGGTGGTGGGTGAGCGGAAAATGAGAATTTTAAAAAAGGGAAGATCGGCACTCGAACTCGGCCGCATTTTTGCCCTCGGTTAATTCTCTCTCCTGAAATTAGCCCCCCCAAAACATCCTAGCAGAGACTTTGGTTTCGCTTGTTTTGGGATTTTCAGTTCTGATTGTCCAACTGGAGCGGGCAGAACGAAAATCCACAAGGCTGGTTCGATTCTTCGAAGCCTGAAGAAAGGAAAGAGAGAAAAGAGCGACAGAAGAAAGAAGAAAGAAAGAAAGGAAGGAAGGGGAGAGAGGAAGAGAGAGGAAGGGAAATAGGAAGGCAGGAAGGAAAAGAGGGATAGAAAGGAGGGAGTGCAGAATGAAGGAATGTAAAAAAAAGAATGGGACGAAGAAAGGAGAGAATTGACATCCCCAGAACGGGGAAACTGAAACGAAGAGATTTGCAAGCACCACAAAGCAAGACAAACAAACCAGGGGTTTTTTTGCACCAACACAGGAGGTGGGGGCCCCTCCTTCTGCCTCTTTCCCTCCTGGCCCCCCCCCCAAGAACCGCTGCCCATCCCAAGCTGGATCCAGGGCTCCCCCCCCCGCCCTGTGGCTGCCCTGGGCGACAGCTGGTTCCCACCGGAGGCCGGGGCAGGTATGCACCCTGCAGCCTGAGAACGTCTCCCCAGCCCTGCGGGCAAGGGCAGGCTCCCAGTTTCGATCTGGCTGCAGCCCAGCAGGTGCTGTGAGTCACCCGGGCTTCCTCCGGCTTCCCCACCCGTCTCGGGGCCGTGTGGCAATTCCCACTGGCCCGGTTGCCAAAGAGGCGAGAGACGTGGGAATTAGCAAAGGCCGCCAGGCTCACGGCTGCAGTTTGGCAGCGTGCTTTGCTCGGGCGCGAGGGGGTAGAGAATAGAGGAGAAGGCCTGGGGCAGGAGGAGGAGGAGGAGGAGGAGGAGGAAAGCCGGCCTGCAGTTTTGGGGAAGCGGCCCCTAGTTTCTCCTGGGACCTTGGGAGGAATTGCATCCCTGCACAATCCTTGATTGTGCGGAACCAAGCGTCCCTTTTGCCAGTTCGGTCTTCCCACGGGGTGTCCTTCTGCAAACAATTGGGGGAGGGGCTCAGGGTGCAGGATGGAAGGCACTGTGTCCTCGCCCCCCCCCCCCAGGCTGACAGTAGCCTCCTTGATTGATTGATTGATGCTCATCCTTCACCCGAAAGTCCAAAGAAATCCTCAACCTCAGTAGGGAGAATAAAGTGGAAAAACGGAAGCCGCTGAAAAGCTCCACCGAGCTAAAGGGGAAATCTCCGCTGGATAAAGTTAGTTTATTTGGGGTTCAGCAAGCCCTGGGTTCCAATCAAGCCCACGGATGGCCCTTGAGGGAGTCTTTCGTCTCAAATAAATAAAAGATGATAGATAGATAAACACACACACACACACACACACACACACACACACACAGAGACGCAGAAGAATACAGATATAGATAGATATTAAATATATAGGAATTAGAGAGAGAAGATAGATATTAAATAGAAATTAGATTGGGAGAGAGAGAGAGAGAGAGAGAGAGAGAGAGAGAGAGACGCAGAAGAATATAGATAGATATAGATAGATATTAAATAGATAGGAATTAGAGAGAGAAGATAGATATTAAATAGAAATTAGATAGATAGATAGATAGATAGATAGATAGATAGATAGATAGATAGATAGATAGATAGATAGATAGATAGATAGATTAGAGAGACAGACAGACAGGAGAGATGATAGACAGACAGATAGAGGACAGAAGTCTTGGCTCAGAAGCTTCAATCAAAGGAAATATCACACACGAGGTGTGCACTTTGGGGTTGGTCTAGATGACCTCTGGGGGGTCCCTGCATCTTCCTCAAAACGAACGGAAGAACAGGGTGGTCTCGTGTCCTTCAGCCGCCTCCCCTGCAGGGCTTCTCAAACACAGAAGGGCATCTAATTCCTCTGGGATCTGACCTTGGATGGTCCTTGACCGGGGAAGCTGGCCGGCCCCCAAAGGCTTTTTGGTGACAGCAGATGACGAGAGCCGAACACGGTTTGGGAGCCCCTCGGAGCGGGGGAAGGAACCCCCCCTTCTCAGTCCATTTGGGAGGCTGCCTTCGGTCCGTTTGCAAGACCCTTTCTCAACGGCCTTCTTTTTAATTTTTAGATTTAGGAGGGGGGGCTGTCTCTTGTTCTAGGGAGGACATTCACGTTGACCCACAAGGATTTAGCCAGTAGAACTTATTTGGTGTGTGTGTGTGTGTGTGTGTTTTTAACCCCTAACTCCTTGAAGAGATGTTTATTTGTCATTTTAGTCCCGGGCTGGCCAGCTGCAAGAAGCAGAGCTTTTGAGCAGAAGTGGGGAATCTCCTGGACCAAAGGAAGCCGAAAAGCAGAAATTAAAAGTAAGCGATGGTGACGTTTTTTTCCCAGTGCCCAGAAGCCCCTCCGGCCTTTTGCTCCGCCACGCAGGCCTCGGTGGGCGCTGGGCTGAGATTAGATGAGGGCATTTTTATCCTGCCTTCCTGCCTATTTTTATAAATAGCTCCAGGCGGTTGGGTGGAGGTCAAAAGGGGAGAAAAGAAGGGGATCGTGGCCGGGGAGGGGAAAAAAGATTTGTGAATTTTTGTTTAGGTTTTGCAAAGCTAAAATTGCAAACATAATAGGATCCTTCTTTCCTTCCCTTCCTCTTTCTATCCCTCTTTTCTTTCTTCTTTCTCCCCCTTCTATTCCCTCTCCCTCCCTCCCTTCATTTTGTCTCCCTTTTTTCCTCCCTCCCTCCCTCCTCCTATTCCCTTTCTTTCTTCCTCCTTCTCCTTCTATCCCCTCCCTTCCCTCCCTTCATTCTGTCTTCCTTCCTTTCTTCCTCTCTCCCTCCTCTCCTTCCTTCCTTCCCTCCCTTCTTCTATCCCTTTTCTTTCTTCCTCCCTTCCTCCTTCTCCCACTTCTATACTCTCCTTCCTTCCTTCCTTCCTTCCTTCCTTCCTTCCTTCCTTCCTTCCTTCCTTCCTTCCTTCCTTCCTTCCTTCCTTCCTCCCTCCTCTCCTCTCATTCCCTCCCTCCCTCCTTCTCCCACTTCTATAGTCTCCTTCCTTCCTTCCCTCCCTCCCTCCCTCCCTTCCTATTACAACTAGTCCTTAACTTGCGACCACAATGGAGCCCCAAAACGGTCCCTAAATGAACCGTTGTGAGTCGAGGATTACCTGTACTTGTGTATAAAGTTGTACGATTCTCATGTATCATGTGTCCTGGTTCCCGTATCTTCCATAAGTAGAAAGGGGGGAGGGGGCAACAAATGAAGCCCCTTTTACGGAGGGACGGGAAGTTCACCGATAGCAACCGGGAGAAATAAGAATAAACCGGAGCTCGCAGACATAAACAGTCCACAAATACCCCTGTGCTTTGCAACAAGCTATAAATAAACCTGGGTTATGTTTGTCTGTCTGGGAGATGCCAAAATGCAGAGATAATCCTTCGCTCGTAGGCGCCAAGTTTACAGCTGTGCTTGGGCGCAAAAGACACAAACGAAACAACAGAAAACTTTTGTGAGTCCGACATTTCTCAGCCCAGGAGGCTGCTGGCCGTCTCTCTGCGCGAGTCGCTGTTCTGGGACGGCTTTTTCTACACCGTTCAGAGACACGCCGGGGAGTCCTTCGACCTTCCCAGATGGGGAGGGTCTCAAGAGTCAGGCGGATTGTCTTTGATTGATGAATCCCCCCCTTATTGATCTAAAAACAGTTCAACCCGAAAATAAAATAATATAATAAATAATAATAAAATAATAAACTAAACTATACAATAAAATAGAAACTATAAACCAAACTAAACTAAACTGAACTAGAAATGATAAAAGAAACCCTGAACATCCTGACGACTGTGTGATGAACCAAATAAAATAAAATAAAATAAAATACCACAACATCCTGACGACTGTGCGATGAACCAAATAAAATAATAAAATAAAATAAAATAAAATAATAAAATAAAATAATAAAATAAAATAAAATAAAATAAAATAAAATAAAATAAAATAATATAATAAAATAATAAAATAAAATAAAATAAAATAAAATAAAATAAAATAAAATAATAAAATAAAATAATAAAATAAAATAAAATAAAATAAAATAAACCTGCAGACTTCAGGCTGACACAGGTCTCCGCTGCCAGCCAGGGCAGCCATTCAGCCTCTTCGCCCATCTCCTCCTGATCTCCAGATGTCCGGTGGGATCTTCGCCCCGCTGGAAAACCTGTGTGGCCTCGACAACGCCAACTGCCACCCGCTGGTGTGCTTCCTGTGCCAGGAGCAGTACGAGCACCCCTGCCTGCTGGATTGCTACCACAACTTCTGTGCCAGCTGCCTGCGGGGAAGAGCCATCGATGGCCGCCTGGCCTGTCCCCTCTGCGGGTAAGGACGGCCTCCCTGGCTTTGTGGCGGCCTTACTGGGCAGGGGGGGTTTGGACTAGATGACCTCCAGGGATCCCTTCCCACTTTAGGATCCCACCTTCTACATTTTGGCAAAGTTTCTAGCCCTCATGGTTTCCGCGGAGGAACCAAAGGCAGGGAGAGAGGGAGGGTTGCTCCAAACTCAATATTAGAGAGTTCTCATTGTCCTTGAAGTCTCTCCGGTGATGGAGCGCCCACAACCTCTGGATTCAATCATGGTTCGTCATGGTTTTTAATCATGGTTTGTCACGGTTAGCAGCAAATAAGCCGCCTTGAGCCAAAAACACCTGACTTTTGAGAAAGGACAGGCCAGGTTAGTCTTCCTTGCAGCCACCAGTCCGTCGTGAAGGGGAACGGGCTCCCTCCCGAAGACCAGCTGCTCAAATTCCTGGTGGACAGCTCTGGAGACTACGAAGAAGATGTCCTGTGTGCGAATTGTGACCTGCAAAGCACAAAGCAGGTAAGCTGAGATGCCATCCGGCCTCTGAACCAGGTTTGGGCAAGTCCCATCCAGAAGCATTTGCAGGAATAAAGGGTTTTCGCCCACCGGCTTACAGGATCACAGAACGGTGGGGGAGGAGGGGCCCCTGAGGGTCATCTAGGCCAACCCTCTAGGCATACTGGCTGAGGAATTCTGGGAATTGAAGTCCACCCATCTTCCAATTGCTAAACTTGAGAGACACAGCAATAGAGCATCCCTGGGCCGGAACAGTCTACCTTAGCAGCAGTGGCGAGTCTCCCATAGAGCACGCCTCCTCTAATTACCTTCAGGAGTCACATTTGCCCCTTCCCAGCCCCCTTTCCTGACCACACCTGTCTCTCCTCCTCCTCCTCGGCTTTCTCCTCCCCTCCAACACCCATCATCCCCTCCCGTTGCTGTTTCCGAAGGAGCTGGACGCCATGTACTTCTGCAACACCTGCAGCCAGCCGCTGTGTGCCAAGTGCCGGGATGAGACCCACAAGGCCAGGATGTTCTCCCGCCACGAGATCGTCTCGCTGAGCAAACGGGCGAAGGAGGTCCATAAGAAATGCCGTACGTGCTCAGAGGCTATGGGTTCTCATGCAGGTTCCTTGACCCTCACCACCAAACCGGCCAAGCGTGACTTCTTTGCAGCAAACATACAGCAGAAAAGAGCCACAGAATTATAGAATTGTAGAATCGTAGAATCAGAATCGTAAAATCATAGAATCATAGATAAATAGGTCTGTAAATAGGTCTGGAAGGGAACTTTGGAGGTCTTCTAGTCCAGCCCCCTGTCTGCCCAAGGCAGGAATTGTTATAACTTATAATTCATTCTTATTTTGTTCATTTGTTTTTCACATTTTGCTGGCCACGTCCTCCGTCTACGATCTGCAAAATCAGAGTTCTCACTTGAACTCACAACCAAAATGAGAATTCATTGGAGGCTCTGTTTTAAAAGCATGAAATTCTTCTTCTTTTCCAAGGCTCCAATTCTTCAGTACAATTTTTTTTTTGAGGCGGCAACCCTGAATTATAAATCACGCTGTTTATTTCCCCTCTTTTTCCAGCCCTCCATGAGGAATTGTACATCATGTTCTCCACGGAGAAAAAATCCATGCTTTGCATTAACTGTTTCCGGGATATGCCTGTGTAAGTTGGCGATTTTTCAGAATCAACCTCTGTCAAAGGCATTTTAAGGGCTTTTAATTTGAATTTAATTTGAATTTAATTTGAATTTAACTACTGTACTATACTATACTATACTATACTATACTATACTATACTATACTATACTATACTAATACTAATACTAATACTAATACTAATACTAATACTAATACTAATACTAATACTATACTATACTAATACTAATACTAATACTAATACTAATACTATACTATACTATACTAATACTATACTATACTATACTATACTAATACTATACTATACTATACTATACTAATACTATACTATACTTATACTATACTATACTATACTAATACTATACTATACTATACTAATACTATACTATACTATACTAATACTATACTATACTATACTTATACTATACTATACTATACTATACTATACTATACTAATACTATACTATACTATACTATACTATACTAATACTATACTATACTAATACTATACTATACTATACTATACTATACTATACTATACTATACTATACTATACTATACTATACTATACTATTAATTTAATGAATTTAATGTTCTGTTCTCCAGGGAGAGCCGAGCTCACTGCATCGACATCGAGACGGCCTACATGCGAGGGTGCGAGAAACTGGACCAGGCTGTGATGGTAAATGTGAAGGAGAGGAAAGGTCTCGGGGGGGCAAAAATGGCTTTTATTCACCAACTTCCTGCCTGGATTTCGGAAGTTTTAGAGTCAGTGGTGAGAGGTGACTTTGGAGAGCATCTAGTCCAGCCTCTGGCTGGTGTGTGACACAACGGGGATTAGCCCACGCTGGGACCACGCTTGGAAAAGCGATGGAAGGTCTTAGTCTTTCCTTCCTCCCTTCCTTCTGCTTTCCTTCCTTCCTTCCTCCCCCCTCCCTCCCTTTCCTTCCCTCCCTCCTTACTGCCTTTCCTTCTTTCCTTCCCTCCCCCTCCTTCTCCTTTTCTTCTTTTCTTCCCCTCCTTCCCTCACCTTTCATCCTTCCTTCCTTCCTTCCTTCCTTCCTTCCTTCCTTCCTTCCTTCCTTCCTTCTTTCCAATTTCCCTCCCTTTCCCTCTCATTTCTTCCTCCCTCCCTCCCTCCTTTCCTTCTTCTCTCCCTTTTCCTTTCTTCCCTCTTCTCTCCTTCATTTTTTCTTCTTTTCTTCCTTCCTTCCCTCCCTCCTGTCCTTTCCTTCCTTTCCCAATTGTTCTCTCCTCCCTCCTGTCCTTTTTCCTTCCTCCCTTCTTCCTCCTTTTCCTTCTGTCCCTTTGCCTTCCCTTTTTCCTTCCTTCCTTCCTTCCTTCCTTCCTTCCTTCCTTCCTTCCTTCCTTCCTCCCTCCCTCCCTTCCTCCCTCCCTCCCTCTCTTCCTTCTCTCTAAACACGAGCCAGACCCTTCTCCCCCCCCCATTGCCAAACTCAGCCCTTTGGCAGACTGGCCCCCTCCGCAGGGCCAGCTCTGGGTGCTAAGTCCCAGAAGACTCGGGTTCGAGAGCTGGCAGAGCCTGGCTCCCCGCAAAGACCCGGGCATGGCTCTGGGCAGCCGAGGGCTCTTGAAGGCAGCCGTGTCCCACCCGGCTGCTTGTCCGTGGCAGGCGGTGAAGGAGCTGCAGACGTCCACCCGGGAGGCCATCGTCCTGCTGAAGGCCATGATCGAGGAGGTCCGGAACAGCGCGGACGAGGAGGAGACGGCCATCAACGCCCTCTTCGGCAGCATGCAGGTGAGCCGGACCGGACCGGGCCCACCTGTGGCCAACCCTGCAGGGCTGGCAGTCCCGCCCAACTCTTCCTTTCCCTTCCCTTCTTCCTAGGAGAAACTGGCCGAAAGGAAGAAGACGCTCCTGAAAGTTGTGCAGAGGTAAAGATTTACACCCGGGCAGAACCGGACAGCGACCTGCATACAGCTAGTCCTGGACATACGACGGTCTGTTTAGTGACCGTTCAAAGTCACAGTGAAAAAAGCGAGTTACGGCCGTTTTTCGCACGACCGTCACAGCACCCCCGAAATTCAGACGCTGGGCAATCGACTCGTAGTTATGACGGTCGCAGCGTCCTACAGGTGTCACCTGGTCCCCGATGAGCAAAGTCAATGGGGAAGCCGGGGATTCGCTTAACGACCGTGTGGCTAACTTAACAGCCGCAGGGATTTGCTTAAAACCGAAAACAGCCAGAAAATGGCTTGTTTTTACATCATTTCTAGCCAGTACGAAGAAAAGGGAAAAGCTTTTAAAGGACAGCTTGCTCACCTGGCTTCATTGCTGCCCACCCTGCAGGTAAGGACAGATTTAGTCAATTTTGTTTTCCCCCCCCCAGCCTGAGATATTCCAGGAATGAAGCCCCCCCTGCATCTTCCCCTTTTGCAACCCCTTTAAATTCAGTTTTTGTGCAAAACGGCGTCCGTTTTTCCGTTTCAGGTGCACCTGGTGACCTGCTCGGCGTTTCTTAGTTCGGCCAACAAAGCTGAATTTCTGGATTTGGGCTACGTAAGTCGGGGACCCCAACCGAATTTCCCCTTCCTGGGAGTTGCCGAGATGGGCAGGAGACAGGGGGGAGACTTGAACCCAGAGCTTTGAGACTCTCGAGTGGCAAAATGCACTCTGCACGCTCTCAGAAGCACCAGTGGATGGAGGTAGACTTGGTCTGAGCAGGAACGGTCCTCTTAGACTGGATTTCCGTTTGGATTGACAGCTTTAGAAACGGTCACTAAGCAGGACAGACAGAAAGGGGGGGCCTTTTCCTACCTTTCCTCGGTTCTCTCTCTGTCTTTTTAGTTTTTATAATAATTTTACTAAAAGTGCCAATGAAAAGGAGAAGCAATAGGCCATCCATCGCTGCCTTGTTGCAGTGTAGAGATTTAATAAAGAAAACTAAATAAAGCAAACTAAAAAAATAAAGGGATAAAGAGAAAAACTAGAAGGGGCAGAAAAGAAGGGAAAAAAGAGAAGGAAAAAGAGAAGAGAAAGAAAAATAATAAGAAGAATGTAAGACAGAAAAAGAGAAAAGACAGATACAGAAATGATTTCCGCCATTAGTCCTCGTGGCGATTCTCCGATTACAGTTCTATGATTTCATTCTCACAACCCAAAGCCAATGATCAAACCTGGCTGATCAAGGCTACCCTGGTTTCGATTGCAGCAACTCATGGAGCGCTTGCAAAGGATTGTCAAACAACCCCACCGCTTGAGGCCGTCGCAAACTAGCAAGGTGAGATAAACCTGGTTACCCCAGATAAAACTTGGATTTGTCGAGAGAGGAGGTGAGCAAACAAATCGGAGCAATTTCTGCTTCCCTTTTTCCACGTGGGGAGGGAGGGGGAAAGGTCCCTGCCAGAACCAAAAGCAGCTTCCTCCATGAGGTCTAGCAGCATGCTTTGGAAAGCAAAACAGAGTTCACAGCTGGTGCCTTTGAAACGTCGGAACAGCCCAGGAAAACCACCAAGCTTAACCAAGGCAAACTGTGAAATCTTTAGCTGATTTGGAAAGGAAGATTTGCTGCCCCCACAATTAAAAAAAAAAATCAGTGCAAAGACCAAAGATTCAGTTATATTTGGAAAGGAGACCATAAGGAAATCTACAGCCTTTAAATCTGACAAGAGAAATTGATAAACATCCCCAAAGGTGGTCAGGGTAAACCTGACTTATGACTATTTGCCTAGTGATCCTCCCTCCCTCCTTCCCTCCCTCCCTCCCTCCCTCCTTTCCTTCCTTCCTTCCTTCCTTCCTTCCTTCCTTCCTTCCTTCCTTCCTTCCTTCCTTCCTTCCAGATCAACAGTGAATACCGGGCAGAGTTTGCCCACTGCCTGGAGCCCCTGCTACCCTTATCCCCACGCCGGTCAGTGGTGGGGACCACAGGAACCATGGGACCCGGCATGAGCAACAGCAACATGTACGTCTCCTATTCAGTGGGCACCCTAGAGGTCACTTAGCCCATTTCAACAGCTGGGCCTGACTGCATCGTCTCAGCTTCCTCATTGGCTAGCTAGGCAGTCGGCTCAAGTCACTTAGGATCGTTTTTCACACTTAGAACCGTAGCAGAACCCACCCCACGGTCACATGACCAAAATCCAGAGGCTTGGCAACTGGCATGTACTTATGACGGTTGTGGCGTCCCATGGCTTGCCCTGACCTTGCTTCCTGTCTTTCCACTTGCTTCCTGACTTTGCAAGATGGAGTAATGAAGTTCTTTTTTTTTTAAAAAAAAATTCTGATTCCTAGGATGTCTGGGGGTCCCGGCTCCAAGACTCTCTTGGTGGCCAGCTGTCCGTCTTCCCACGAGACGATGCCCCTGGCGGGGTCGCCGGTCAGGAAGGCCACCATGCACCGATACATCAGCACCAAAGTCCTTTTGGCCGAGGGGAAGCAGACCCCGTTTACCGACCACTGTCGCGACTACGAGAACATGTATCGGGTAAGGATGGCGGGACGGGGAACCGGGGACCTCACTTCCTTGCCTCCTTCACGGAACGAGCACTGCAAGGAAACTGGAAGGGGCCTCGGAGGTCATCTAGTCCAACCCCCCCCTGCCTAGGACAAGAGATCTTATCCCATCCCATTCAAAAGTTTCTCTTCTCGAAACCCTCCAGCGATGGAGCACTGCACCTGAATTTTAAATTAAATGAAATTAAGATGAATTAAAAGCTTGGTGAAGCTGGGTAGATTCCCCCCCCCTTCCTTGCTCCCCGCGTTCTCTACAGGAGCTACAGACCGAGATTCAGAGCTTGAAAGACCACGTGCAGGAGCTCCACCGGGACCTCACCAAGCACCACTCCCTGATCAGGACGGAGATCATGGGCGAAGTCCTGCAGAAATCCCTCCAGGTGGACGTTCAAATCGCCTCCGAATATTCCTCCGTGGAAATGAAACGGACCGAGTTCGAAGAGGTGAGCCCTTCCTCGCAAGGCGGGGGTTTTTTCGTGGCTGACTGCAAAACCTCTTGCAACTAAATCAGCCCTTGGGTGTCTCTCTTTTAATGGTGGAAAAAAAAACAAGCCGATAGTCCTCATGAGGTCTTTTGTGGCTTCGTTTTTCGGTTGATTTCACACCTCCTCGCTCCAATTTATTTTTCCTACTTCCCTCCCGCCTGCCCCTGGGTCACAATTTCCCCAGTCTTTGGCAGACCTACCAATCCCGTCCCTCCTCTTTCTTGGCGGCAACTCTCGAACTCATTACCTCGTCCGGATTTTTTTTTTCTTCCTTTTTGTTCTTTCTTCTTCTTCTTCTTCTTCTTCTTCTTCTTCTTCTTCTTCTTCTTCTTCTTCTTCTTCTTCTTCTTCTTCTTCTTCTTCTTCTTCTTCTTCTTCTTCTTCTCCTTCTCCTTCTCCTTCTCCTTCTCCTCCTTCTCCTTCTCCTTCTCCTTCTCCTTCTCCTTCTCCTTCTCCTCCTCCTCCTCCTCCTCCTCCTCCTCCTCTTTGTCTTGCAGACTTGGGAGGAAACTTACCAGCGGGTGGCCAATGAACAGGAGATTTATGAAGGTGGGTCTTTGGGCCTCCTCCTCTGAGCGTGTGCAGAGTTGAGGCATGTTTGGGGGGAAAAAAGAAGGTTGGATTGAAGGAAGATGACCTGGCTAGGGCTCCTCTCTCGCTAGCCCAGCTCCACGACCTGCTGCAGCTGAGACAGGAGAATAGCTACCTGACCACCATCACCAAGCAGATCGCCCCCTACATCCGCTCGATCGCCAGGGTCAAGGAGCGGCTGGAACCCAGGTGGGGACCCCCAAGGCCCCCCCCAGAGGGGGCCCTACCAGACAGGATCTGTTGGAAGCCAGCCAGCCTCCTGGGCTGGGCCAGGTGGGACAGGAGTGTCCATTAGAACAGAGAATGCCAGGACTGGAAGGGACCTGGGAGGTCTTCTAGTCCAACCCACGGCCCAAGGCAGGAGATGTTGGTTTGGGATATCCTGGGGAGGGGGGGAAGGAAGCCCCCCCCCGGGACTCACTCAGAGGGTCTCCACCTGGCAGGCTCCAGGACTGGAAAGACAAAGCGGATCAGCCGGAGAGCCTGCTCAAGATCTACGAGGACGGATCCCCCCCGGCCCAGACTCAGCCCAGGTAATCGATCGATCCGAGGGTTGACCCTCTTGATCAGGGGTCTTCAAACTTGGCCCTTGGATGACTGGTGGACTTCAACTCCCAGAATTCCTCAGCCAGGCACGTGTGCCTGGCTGAGGAATTCTGGGAGTTGAAATCCACCAGTCATCCAAGGGCCAAGTTTGAAGACCCCCTGCTCTTGATGCTTTATTGAAACTTATTTTTCCACCGGGAGTCCTCGACTTAACAGCCAACACAGCTTGTCGCAAAAGGGGGATCGTGTGACACCCACAAGTCATATTTAGGAGTCAGTTGCCAAGCACATGACCCCAGGGAGGCTGCAGCGGTCGCGAAGTGTGAAAAACGCTTATAAGTCCCCTTTTTTCAGCCCCATTGTAACTTCGGTCACTAAAGAAACGGTCGTAAGCTGAGGACTATCTGTGTCTTTTTATTTTTTTTCTCCTTTTGTGGAACCATCTTGGTAGCAGCGGCAAAGAGTGGACACTGAAAGCAGAAACGCAGGTGCCGAAAAACACCGAGGTCTTCAAAAACACGCCGAAAATCCAGGCGGAGACCCCCTCGGACCCCACAGGAGCCCCATCGAGTCTAACCAAGGATGGAGATCTGGAGACAGAGCTGCTCTTGAGCTGAGGGTGCAAAATCTTCCTTTTGGAAATATATATATATATATTTCTCTCGATTTTAGAATTTTTATATAGTCTAGAATTCACGCATGGAATATGCACCGTCCATGCGTGAATTCTAATATATATATTCTAAATCAATTTAAATCAATATATCTATATAATAGTTCGGGTGCATATTTCGTGCGTGAATTCTGGAAGTTTTAACGTCTAAATTGCGTGCCGTTTCTTGTTCGGGTTGTGCATTAAAGAGTCCTGCGGGAACTTTGAACCCCAAATGTTACAGAAGGGTGCCTCCAATTTATTTATTTATTTATTATTATTTATTTATTATTTTAATTTCTATACCGCCCTTCTCCCGCAGGACTGCTTTGTCGACCATCACCCAAGCATGGCCATTAAAAAAAAATTAATGATTTGATAGAAGTTCTCCGGTAAGGCAGGGCTGGCTGGGGGATTCTGGGAGTCCTGGGAGAAAGGATAGGGAACGTACTGTCAACAGGTGGCAGAGAGGGAAGACATAAAAAATATCGGATTTATTACTCTTTTTTAAAAAAATAATAATTTAAACAAAAAAGAATAGCAGAGAACTGCCCCTTTTAATCGGCCTCGGGAAAGAAAAAAGGACTTATGACAACTGCGCTCAAAATTTATGTTGCTAAGTGAGATATTTGTTGAGTGAATTTTACCCCACTTTACGACCTTTATTGCCACAATTATTAACTGCAGCTGTTCAGTGAGTAATTCGGTTGTTAAGTGAAACTGGTTCCCCCCTTGGTTTGGCTTGTGAGGAGGTCGCAAAAGGGGTCATGTGACCTCTCAACACTATGACCGTCACAAATAGGAACCGGTTGCCAAGCAGCCGAATTCGGATCACGCTGCAACCGTCGTTAAGCGTGAAAAATGGTCATAAGCTGTTGTAATTCTGAACGGTCACTAAATGAAGTACTGTAAGTCAAGGACAGCCTTTTGTCCGAAATGGTATAGGCCAGGGGTAGTCAACCTTGGCTCTTTTATGACTGGTGGACTTCAACTGCCAGAATTCCCGAGCCAGCCATGCTGAGGGGAAAGGGAGGTTTCCAAGCTGAGCCATTCTGGCTCAGGAATTCTGGGAGTTGAAGTCCACGAGTCATAAAAGAGCCCAGGTTGCCTACCTCTGGCCTAGGCCTAGGCCACTTCACTGGTGGACTTCAACTCCCAGAATTCCTGAGCCAGCCATGCTGAGGGGAAAGGGAGAGGTTTCCAAGCTGAGCCAGGCTGGCTCAGGAATTCTGGGAGTTGAAGTCCACGAGTCATAAAAGAGCCCAGGTTGCCTACCTCTGGCCTAGGCCTAGGCCACTTCACTGGTGGACTTCAACTCCCAGAATTCCTGAGCCAGCCATGCTGAGGGGAAAGGGAGAGGTTTCCAAGCTGAGCCAGGCTGGCTCAGGAATTCTGGGAGTTGAAGTCCACCAGTCATAAAAGAGCCAAGGTTGACTACCCCGGTATAGGCAGGTCTACACTTGTCATATCTCTACACTTTCTTCTATCTCTACGCTCCGGCTCCCCAAAAAGGAGTCTCGCGAGGCTTGGATGATTGAAGCGGTCTCCGGGTAGAGCAGCTCTAACCTTTCATATCTCTACGGCTCTGCTATCCACCACCCCTTTTGCTAGCTCTACCCGGAGGACTCTCGCGAGGCTTGGGGGGCGTTGACGGGAGGGCCGGCCACGCCCCGCTCGCGCGACGGGTCTCGCGAGAGCGAGGCGGGCCTCGGGCCGTCCGCCATGGCCGGCGAGCAACGGAGGGCGGGCGGGCTCCGCTGGGCCGAGGCTCGCACCAGCCTGGCCGCTTTCCTGCTGGGCGGCTCCGTGGTGGCCGCCGTGCCGCTCTTGCTCCGGGCCGGCTTCCAAGGCCGGGCCGCGCTGGCGCTCCACGTCGCCGGCGCCAACGCGACGCTCCTCTTGGCCTGGGGCCGAGCGCCGGGCGGGATGTACCAGGTGAGGCCAGGCCACGCCCCTCGTGGGCGGGGCTTACGAGCATCCTTTTTCCCCCCTCCCCTCTCTGCTGCTTGGTGCCTGGATGGACTCTCTGCGCTGGAATGTGGGGGGAGGGAATGGGAAGGGTTCCTGAGCATGTACAGAGGGTTCTTTCGACTCCGGGGGGGGGATCAGAACTGAAATCAGTCTGTGTGTGTGTGTTAATTTTGGAGGGAGAGCTGAACGGGGATAACTTAAGGGGGTTGGGCTAGATGACCTCGGGGCCCCCTTTCAAATATTCCAGTTTAGGATCTGCTCGTTAAAGGGATTCCTGCGCTGGGGTGGGTGGGGTTGGACTAGACGACCTCACAGATCCCTTCTAGAATGTTCTAGTCTAGGATTCTCTCTATCTTTTGAGGATTCCTGCACTGGGCAGAGTGGGTTGGACTAGATGACCTCATAGGTCCCTTCTAGAATGTTCTAGTCTAGGATTCTCTTTATCTTTTGAGGATTCCCGCACTGGGCAGAGTGGGTTGGACTAGATGACCTCATAGGTCCCTTCTAGAATGTTCTAGTCTAAGATTCTCTCTATCTTTTGAGGATTCCCGCACTGGGCAGGGTGGGGTTGGACTAGATGACCTCACAGATACCTTCTAGAATGTTCTAGTCTAGGATTCTCTTTATCTTTTGAGGATTCCCGCACTGGGCAGAGTGGGTTGGACTAGATGACCTCACAGGTCCCTTCTAAAGGTGACCGTTTTTCACACTTAATAACTGTTGCAGCATCCCCACGGTCACGGGATCAAAGTTCAGAGATTTAGCAACTGGCATGTACTTAACGACGGTCGCAGTGTCCCTGGGTCATGTGATCCCCTTAAGTGTGGCCGGAAAGGTCGTAAAATTGGGGCAAAACCCACTTCATTATGTAACTTAGCAGCAGGAGGTTTGGGCTCCGTGGCGGTCGTAAGAAGAGGACTGCCTGTACACCCAGAGTTGGCTAGACCCAAGAAGCTAAATCACCAAGGAGCTCTCCCGGTGGCACAGCAGCCTGCCTCCCCTAACTAACCAGCCCCGTCGGCTTCCTTCTTGCAGATAGCGATCCGGGCCTGTTTCCTGGGCTTTGCGTTCGGATGCGGCTTGCTGCTCAGCTTCAGGCAGTCTTCCTGGAAACATTTTGGCTGGTAAGAACAACCATTTTTTCCCCCTCCGAGGTCTGTTCTGCCTCCCCTGCCGGGGGGCTTCGCAGGACAAGCTGAACTCAACCCTGATTTCTACCTACAGTTTTTTTCTCACCTTATTTGCCTCTCTTTCTGCAGGTACATGTGTTCGCTGTCTCTGTTCCATTATTCGGAATATCTGATCACGGCGGTCAACAACCCCCGTAGCTTGTCTCTGGACTCCTTCCTACTCAACCACAGTTTTGAATATAACATGGCCGCTCTTTCCTCGTGGATCGAGTTCACCGTGGAAAAATTCATTTTCCCAGGTTAATACTTGGATTTATCTATCTGTCTGTCTGTGTGTGTCTCTCTCTCTATAGATATATAGATAGATACATAGCTATAGATAGATAGATAGATAGATAGATAGATAGATATTTATATTTATACCAACAAAATAACAAAATACTTGTCCATCTTGCAAAATCTGGAAGCAAAGTCCCTTCTCTGCCGTTGTAACTTCGAATCTGTCGTAAGTCGAGGACTCCCTGCAGGCCCGTTTTAACGTCCGCCTCTTGTTTTGCAGAAATGAAGCAGGTGGCTTGGCTGAGCTCCGCCGGGCTGCTGATGGTGGTCTTGGGCGACTGTTTACGCAAGGCAGCCATGCTGACCGCTGGCTCGAATTTCAACCACATCGTCCAGAACGAGAAGTCGGAGAGTCACAGGCTGGTGACCCGGGGCGTCTACGGCTGGTGTCGGCACCCTTCGTATGTGGGGTGGTTTTCCTGGAGCATCGGAACTCAGGTAGGGCGAAAACGATGCAACCAATTGGGACCGCAGGTTCAGTGGCCGTTCAAAGTGACTTAAGACCAGTTTTCACACTTAACGATGAATTTCCACCCTTAAGGTCACACAGCGGGGCAAAACTCTGTCTAACAACCAGCAGCCCAATCCCTCTTCTCTAAATTCTACGTTCTCTTTTGAATAATTTAAAAAATAAAAATAAATAAAATAAAAATAGATTCCATAACACGAAAGGAAAAATAGAGGAGGAGGGAAGAGGGGAAAAAAATATCTTTTTGCCCTGCACGGTTCAAACGGAGCTAGTGAAGACATCCAGACTAAATGGTTGCACGTTTAATAATAATTGATTCAGTTGCTGTGATTTTTATTTATTTTCTCTCCTTGGACCGAGGGGTCTTGCCTCCATCACGTTGGCTTTCTCGAGGCTGACAGCCAGGAAGAGAATCCTTGCCCAGGACCCATTTTTCCCCCCTGTTTTTTCCCCACTTCCAGGTACTTCTCTGCAACCCCGTCTGCCTGGTGGGCTACACCCTGGTCTCCTGGCGTTTTTTCCGCGACAGGGTAGAAGAAGAAGAGCGGGCCCTGATCCACTTTTTCGGAGAGGAATATTTGGCCTATAAGGAGAAGGTACCCAGTGGGCTCCCCTTTATCCGAGGCTTCAGAATTGAACTCTGAAATCTTAACGCCGGCATCGGGGGGCCACATCCTGCCTCGGCTTTCGCCAAGCCTGGGAAAATCCTCGGAGCACGTGCAGAGGGCTCAAAAAAGCTTAAGAGGTTCCTTAAAAAAAAACAAACCTACCTTTCTTAGAGGATTTACAGGGCTGCTTAGAGTTCTCCAACCGAGCCATAAGTCTGATCTTTTTTCTTTTTAAAGAGAAAATTTGCCATTTGTCGCTTGCAAGTTGAAATCCCAGTCCCGGATTAAAAGAGAGCCGAGAAAAAAAAAAAATCCCGCAGACTGTATTCCCCCCCCCCTCAAAATCATGCAGATTTGACTCTTTTCCCTGTTTGCCCTTCTAACAGCTGCTTAATGCCGTTTGAAGCCTGATCTTAAAAATCTTTTGGGAAAATTATAAATGACTTTTTCTAAGTTATAAAATTCTCATCCAGCTGGGAAGACCTGACTTAACAGCAGAAAAAAAAAATCTCTTTTTTTTTTCACCAACGGCCTGCCATTCTTTTGGTTCCCCCCCATCACTTATGCAAAACTTTGAAGACAAATCTGAAATACATGTCGGTTTCTACACCTCTTGTTTCCTTCCTTATTTTTTTAAAAACAATATTTTTTTCTAGTGTTACTTTGGCTTCCCCCCCCCCTCTTGGGGGGGAGCATTTCAACATTCCTTGCTGTTTCCGAAACCTCTGCTTCTCTTTTTCGGGTTTAATTTCATTAATTTCATGAATGGTTTCCATGAAGGGCTGCAGCATATGTTTTTCTACCTTTGCACAAACATAAGTTGGTCTTTTTCTTCCTCAAGCATTTCCTTGTTCCGGCTTTTGTTCTGGTGGCAAACCAAAGATAAATTTATTACCTTTTTTTTCGTTATTCTGTTTGCTGTGGTTATAATCCGGAGAGGAATGGCAGCAGCTAAAAACAAATGCTGGGTGGGAGTTAAAAAAAGCAAGAATCTCGTCTCCTGTCTAAGGAAGGAGATTGGGGCAGGCCTTGCCTTTGGAAATCTTAATACTTTAATCCAAAACATAAGGCTAATTTAATTCTAGCAGCAGGATCAGAGGTCCTTTCAGACCGGATCTTCCCCGCCGTGTCCACGGACGGTAAATTTTCTAAACCGCAGAATTGCAATTTGAATATCTTCCCGTACTTAAGTTGCAAATTACAGCTAATAATAATAATAATAAAGTTGGAAGGGACCTTGGAGGTCATCTAGTCCAACCCCCTGCTCAGGCAGGAAACCTTAGGGTCTGTTTTTGAGACACCTTCCGAGTCCCTCGCAGCGCTTTGGGCCCCATGGTGCTATGCCGGGAGCACATGGGACATTGAAAACATCTGGAGTCGTTTTCCAGCAAGTCGGGAGACTGGCTGCACCAACTATTGGCATTTGATTATGTGACGACATGGGATGCTGCAACGGTCGTTAAGTGTGAAAAAATGGTCATAAATCACATTTTTCGGTGCTGTTGTAACTTCGGTCACTAAACGAACTGTCGTAAGTCGAGGGCCACCTGTATATCCTGTTTCTCTTTGGGTTTTTTTCCCCTGAAGCTTCTTTGATGCAGGTGGATCTTGCTCTGTGATTAAAACATTTCTTTTTAACAATGATATTTTTAAAAAAAACACGTTTCTTTGCTTTTTCTTGAAAGCCACATGTAGTCCTCGACTTAACGACCAAAACGGGGAGCAGAATTTCTGTGGCTAAGTTCTAATGAGGTTATGTATGAGGGTGGAGCTCTGCATTGCTGTGACCACTAGATGGCACTGCGACCCCAAAAATTGTCAGACGTGTCTCTCTGGCTAGTTGCTTGCCTTTCTTCAAGGTGACACAGACAACATTTAGAGCAGTGTCTTTCAACCTTGGCATCTTTTAAGATGGGTGGATTTCAACTCCCAGAATCCCCCAGCTAGGCATACGTTTATTTTCCCACTCCCTAGAGCAGAGAGATTGTAGGGGAAGGGATTAAAAGAGAGTAAGCATGTCCCCCCACTCCCTAGAGCAGAGGGATTGCAGAGGAAGGGATTAAAAGAGAGTAATAGGGATAGACATCAAAAGGCATGTATGATCACCAGGGAATACTGGGACTTGAACTCCACATATCTTAAAAGTCACCAAAGTTAACCAAGTCTGCCCTCAATGAAAAGTTTGAATTAAAATTACTCCCAAGAAAACGAGTGACAGAGGCTTTTTTCTTTTTAATTTTTAATTCAACTTTTTACAGGAAGAAATTCTCAAGAGGTCCAAAAACTTAAAAAAGAGAGAAAGAGAGCAGGGTACAAACAGTTTTGGAACAAAAAACCGCTGTGAAGAAAACGTGTTCCGGTTGAAGACAAAGTCCGCAGGGACGTGTTCTAGAAATATATATATATATATACACATATATTGCACCCCCAGAAAAACTGTTTAGGGAGGGTTATATTGAAGACGGAGCAAACACCCAGTTAGATACCAAAGAGGAAAAAATGGGGTACAAAGTATCACCCTAAAAGTTGGAGGTCGCAGAAAAAAATTAAAATACTTCCCAAAGTTCGGAAAGGTCACGAATCCCGTTTCTCAGCTATGGCATTTGGAAAAAATAAAATAAAACGTATTGCCTTATGTCCCCCAAAAGAGTTAAAAAGATACAGTACAACAAAGGGTTCAACAGCCCCCTCCCCAACATCCCACCCTCCTCTGTAAAAGAAGCCCAAAACCTCTGGCTGGATGGATGACTTCTGGGAATCCCAAAATAGCCACCATGATTAATTTTTAAAACCCTTTTAAAAAGGCACAATATATTTTTTTTGCAGGGGGGTGAGATTTGAGATGGAGGGCATGGAAGCCATCGGTGTGGAGGGCAGCTGCCGTGAAAGTTTTGAAAAATTAATTTTTAACTTTTGTTTTTAAAGCCAAGAACAGCGGCACAATTTCTCTAGATTTGGCACGGACGGGATACCCACTTTAAGATAAAAAAAATGTGTTTTTGGAATAGGAAAAAAAAATTCTTATTGCCTTCATTTAGACTTTTTTTCTTTTGTAAATTCCCACTATCTACAATTCGCCGATTGCTTCATAGAGTCCCATTGGGAAACTCAGCTGGCTTTTGGGGTGTCCGAGCCCGGGAACCAAAAAATAAAGATTGTGTAAACTGGCTTTTGGGGGTCTTCCCAAGGGCACCTCAACCTCAGCACAATTTCTTTTTAAAATTGGATTGCTTCTTGTCCAAAATAGCGAAATATCCCTGAACAGTTGACGAGGGCACTTGTTGTGAGTTGTTCGGTTAAATTTCCAGAAAAGTTGTGTGCTCCCAACCAGAGAGAGAGGAAGTAAGAGGGGCACACGGGGTCACTGCACCCCCTTTTTCCGAGTGTGCAAAAGAATGCATGGCAGTTGAAATGGGGAGTGAAGAATTAAGAGCATTGTTTTTCCATCTCAGCCTCTTTAAGATGGATGGACTTCAACTCCCATAATTCCAAGCGGTGCGGACTTTGACTCCCATCATTCTAAGTGGTGTGGACTTCGACTCCCATCATTCTAAGTGGTGCGGACGTCAACTCCCATCATTCTAAGTGGTACGGACCTCAACTCCCATAATTCTAAGCGGTGCGGACTTCAACTCCCATAATTCTAAGCGGTGTGGAGGCCTGGAAGTTGTAGTCCATTTGTCTTAAAGTGGCTGAGAGAAAAATACTGGGGTAGAAGACCAGCACATGGACTGCGGTGTCCCTGTTTTGGCAGATGGGCCCTTTTATCATGCATCTCCAAGATATTCCTTGTTTTTTTTTTTCCCCACTACCCATGATTTCTTCATTTGAACCCGCCACCCTGTCTTTTATTTCTTCTACCAAAGCATACAGAATGAATTTACTGTCTGTATAATATACCAGACAGTATACTATGCAGGTAGTCCTTGCCTTAAGACCACAACTGAGTCTAAAATTTCTATGGCTGAAACACTTATTGAGTTTTGATCCATTTTACAAACCTCCTTGTCACCGTGGCTAAATAAATCACTTTCATCCTTAGGACAATTTTTCTTCGGACCAAAAATTAATTCAGGACAGCATAAAAATGAAACCGAAAGGCGTAGGTCTCGTACAATATTAGCAACCGTTGCTCTCTTCTCTCCCTTTCTCTCCAGGCGCTAATTTTCTCCCCATCCTATTTATTTTCAATCAAAGAACATGCAAATACCTACCTGGATTTGGGCAGAAAAGTCCGTCCCCTTGGCCTGCGCTGAACTGACCAGATGTTAAACATCGGGGGGGGGGGAAATGGGGTTTTCTGCATGCCCCAATGCGGGAACCCTCCAGAAGAAAGGTGCAGGGCGGGCGCAAGACCGGGAAGAACACTGCCGCAACACAGGAGGAAAAGTAAATTTTGTGTCCCCCTATTGGCAAGGAGCCTTAACAGCCCCCTAAAAAGTTCCCCCCAAAGCTGGATCTGCCGTGATCCATGCATTCTCCCCACCACCTCATTACAGGGCAGCAACCCCACTGGTTATGGGTCAGGGCAACCCCTCCTGCAGGGTCTGCACTGTTTGTAGTATTGCCGCAAAGGGAAAGCTGCCATTTTTAGCACAACCTTTCTCCTCCTCGCCCGTTTCCTGCATCTTGTAGAGCAGCCTCAGGAGGTTATGGGGCAGTGGTTCTGTGCAGGATGTGGGGCGAGGCTTTGGCACTGAACAGGAGGTAGGATGCTGAGATGTCTTGCTTAGGGGGCTGGGGAACGAACCCAAAGGGATGTTTCCTGGATCGGACTTAAATTTCTCTCCCGCTCTCTTACGATAGGAGAGGAACCCTTAAGTCTTGTTGGCAAACAATCAGAGTTTGTCTCAGTCCCTACATCGACGCTATTCCAGAATAACGGACCACATGCGTGCGGCACTATTCTGGAATAACGGACCACATGCATGCAACATTATTCCAGAATAATGGACCACGTGCGTGTGACTCTGTTCCAGAATAACGGACCACATTCACGTGACATTATTCCAGAATAATAGACATGCGTGCGACACTATTCTGGAATAACGGACCACACACTTGCGACACTATTCCAGAATAATGGACCACATTCATGTGACATTATTCCAGAATAATGGACCACATGCATGCGACACTATTCTGGAATAACGGACATATGCTACACGATTCACAATACAAGACCACATGCATGCACCGCTATTCTGGAATAATGGATCACATGCATGTGACGCTATTCCAGAATAATGGACGACGAACAAGCAACAATATTCTGGAATGACGGACTACACGCGGGTCTCACCCACCACCTCACTGCTTGAAAGTGGGGCCTCTTGGAATGTAGAACAAGGACTGATAAATTTGGGGCGTTTGATCCCCCCAAGTTCTTTAAAGGGAACATCGGGTCTCCATGTTTGGCAACAGTTCCCTCCCAGGGCCGTGCGGGCTCCGAGACAGAAGGATCAGTATCCAAAGACATGCACGACTAACCGCTACCTAAAAAGTTCATTTGAGAGGACGTGAGATGATTAGAAAAAGGAACCACAGCAAAAAGTCAGACTAGCTGTGTGGGTTCTTGAAGTAAAAAAGGAAGAGAGGAGAACGGACCCTCTCTTGCCCCGAGCTGAGATATAACCCGTCTGGATTTGAAGTGCTTTTCTTACAAGGCTGCTCTCGGAAGCATCCTGCTTAACGTCTCCCTCCTGCTTTTCATGACCAGGACGAGAGACGAGATAATGGTTCTTTGGTGCTTTGTCCAGTTCCTGTTACCAAATCCAGACCGCAACCAGGAGGGAATCCCGTCGCGCGAGAAACAAATCTGGAAGCTGAATGGGACAACTCATCCTGGCCCACTCGCCACGGGACAATTCAACAAATGCAAAAGTTGACTTAATTTCGATGGAACCGTGGCCAATAATAATAAAGTCAATCCAGACATACAAGGGTTAGAATAATTTAGATGAAAACGTGGCCACCGATAATAAAAGTAATTGAACGAAGTGATTAATACACCCTTGAATTGTCCTGCAGTGAGTTGGTCACAGTGAGTTGTCCTGCAACAACTTGGCCTCAACTGGTCGCCCCATGGTGAGATGGTTGTGGCGAATTGTCCTAGGCCCTCTGGAAGATCCTCGTACGAAGTGATTCCTGTTAATCTGGTCTTTACGAGGCCGAGCTGATCGAATCCGAGTGGAATGTGACGTATCCGGAGGAGGCCGAAGGCGAACTCAAGAAACTGCTTGTGCTCCCTTTGCTTCCGCTTTTCCGAAGATCGTCTTGGCCTCTCCAGGAAGGACTCAGACCTGTCCGGAAACATTCCGTCTTGGAGCAACTCCTAATCATCGGACAATCCTCCGTGCCGGGACTCTCGCAAAGTTCCACGTGAATCTGTTCGTGGCAAGGCATGTCCAAGCTCCCTTTGGGAAAGAGGATCTGAGTGTCCTCCTGGGCTGGGAGAGGGACCGGCACCATCAGGGAACTTCCTCGTCCCTGGACTGAGATGCTCCGCAGAACTTGGGGTTCTCGTTCGAAAGTGGTCAAGGGGAAGTCTCGGAGAACTGCGGCAGTCGAACAGCGCGGGAAGGCATCCGGCAAAAGAGAGACAGAGGCCGAGCGCACCGGTGGTCTCCTTGGGGTAGGAAGGGGGCTGGGGTCATCCATGAAATCCATCACGTTCTCTTTGCTAAAGCACTTGTACCCTCCCGACCGGTGGACGTCTTCGCACGAGAACGGCTTGAGGGATACTGTGCTCTCTGTGGACTTCCTGCGCTTTCGGTGCGGACGCCGTTCTTCTTGGTAGGAAAGGATGCTGCTCCTCCGCCGGTCGTATCGAGGCTGAGGGAGGAGCAGGCTTGCCAGTTCCGCAGTGATGTCCTCCCCCGCCACCCAGTGCTGAAAGTAAGCCGAAATCTGGCTGGTGGTCCAAATCTCAATTTCGTCGTGCGAGAAACGCCGAGTCGGAGGAACCTGCAGAGAGCAGCAGAGAGAGGATGGGAAGATCGCTTCATTTAACCTTTTAAAATTTAAAAGATTCCAGCTTCTATGGAAGTTTTATGGAAATTGAAAAAAATACAAACTAGAAAAACAAACAGGGAAGAAGAACACGATGGCTAAAAAACACAACAGAAATGAGAAAGTCAAACCTTGGTGGCATCTTCTCACTCTTCTCAAGCCCAACCACACCTGCTCACCTGGAGATACTGCATTTTGTCCTCCGGGACGGGCTTCGCAGCGTAGACCTGTGAAACCCCCCTCTCCAGTGCTGACAGATCGTAGTTGGCGATCTGGTCCACAGTGAGAACGTCCCTGGAGATGCTGTCCGGGTAGGGTTGAGAGCACATTACATCCGTGGGAATCGGCCGGTCCAAACCCGTCTCTTTGGTCCCAGGTAGATGGGGAGGACAGGAGATATAAATAGGGAGATTCAGTGAGTCTTTGCCACATCTTCCCGGTTCCCACTACAAGAACTTTGCAAGTCTGAAAGTACAATTCTTCCGCCGTCGCCATTATATCCGGAGAAACTAGAGAGAGTCTCTTTTTCTCCACCCATTATGCAGCCGTACGGAGGTGTATCTGAGGTATACCACCTGTACTTGAGGTACACCACCGCTGGGAACCGCACGCTCACCTTCCCCGCTGTCATCGTTGGACATGATGGCCACGCACTTCTCCCAGACCGAGCGGACATCGGCCCGGTAGCGGTCGCAGGCCCACAGGAACATCGGGAGGAGAAGGGACTGGGCCACAGAGCACCAGAGGATACAAAGCACCATCCAGTCGTAGGCCACGTCCGACTTTAGGCTGGCAAAACTCACCACCTGGAAAGGAGAGAAGCGGCACCACGGGAAGCAAACCTCCAATCAATTCTAATAAATAAGACAGGCTGAAATTATGTGTAAATTATTAATTCTTGTTTCCTTTCTCCCTCCTTCCCTTCCCCTTCTATTTCCTTTCTTCTTTCTTTCTTTCCTTCCTTCCATTATTTTTATAAACACTTCAAGGTGGCAAATATAACTAGTACTCCTCCTTCCTCCTTTACACATAACAGCCTGCCGGGTGGACTGGGCTGAGAGAGTAACCGGCCCAAAGACACCCAGCAGGCTTTGATTCCCCAATAAACTGCATTTGAATCAATTCTAATCAATAAGGAAGGCTATAAATTATATCTGTCTGTCTGTCTGTCTATCAATCATCTGTCCATCTCTCTTCCCCTCTCTATCGTCTGTCTCTTGCCAGTGTTTTCCTGCAATCTCTCGGCTTGGGGCACAAATACCTGCGTCCAAATACCCCCCCACCCCCACCCCATGTTAGACTGCTCTCAGCATCCACACACCCCCTCCCACGTCTGCCACCCGTTTTACCAAGACGGGGAATCCCATCAGGAAGTCGTAGAGGAAAACGATGCCGGTGATCAGGTAGGTGATCTGCAACGAAGTCTTGACGGGCTCCGACCCGTCGATGGAGGAGCGGCGCTTGCCCTGAGCATCCTCCACCACGATGGTGGGCACGTTGAACTTGTTCTTGTCCAGGTTGTTGCCCGCTTGGATGGAGAAGGTCTGGAAGAGGGCGATGGCCACGCAGACCACCCCCATGGCCACGCTGCCGCTGATGAGGAGCAGGAAGCAGACCCCGAAGCCCAGGCCGATCTCCGTGACGATGAAGCGGCAGTCACTGGCGTAAAATCTCTCGGTGGTGTCGTGCCAGCCCACGGCGGGCAGCGTGGAGAGGATGAAGGAGACCATCCAGATGCCCATCACCGTGTGGACCGCCTGCTTCTTGGTGTTGCTTAATCTGCAGCAACGGGAAAGATCCCCCCAAATTATCCTTATCGCTCAAACCAGAGTCTCCAAGCTTGGATGGATAAGCAGATGTACTGATGGATGGATAGAGAGACAAACGAATGAACTGGGCGTGGCTAGTCTAGTGAAAGGAAGGACAAGGGGGGACATGATAGCGGCCTTCCGATATTTGAGGGGCTGTCCCAAAGAGGAAGGGGGTCAACCTATTTTCCAAAAGCATTTGAAGGCCAGACAAGGAATAACAGATCAGAACTGATCAAGGAGAAATGAGAATTTTTTTGACAGTGAGAGCAATCAACCAATGGAACAGAGGTTGTCTTCAGAAGTTGTGGGTGCTCCATCACTGGAGGCTTTCAAGATCCCTCTCCACCCCTCAAAGCCCTCCCATCGAAGAAGAAATTTCCTGATCCTTAGAACAATTAACCAGTGCAACAGCCTGCCTCCAGAAGTTATGGGTGCTCCAACATTGGAAGTTTTCAAGAAGAGACTGGACAATCACTTGTCAGGAATGGCGTTCCCCCAACGGCCCTGCCTCCCACCCCGGGGTCCTACCTGTAGTTCACGGGCCAGCGTACCATCCACATCCGGTGGTAGGAGAGCGAGGTGACGGAGAAGCAGGTGGCCAGCGTCAAGGTGTAGAAGGTGGAGACGAAGACTTTGCACAGCCCCTCGTTCCACTCGTAGTCCGAGTGCTGCTGGCGCAGCTGGATGACCGAGTACATGGTGATGGGGATGGCGATGTTCAGGATGTGGGTGCCCGCCAGGGTGCAGAGGAGGAACTCCAGCGGCTTCCACTTCTTCTGCTTGGCGCTGACGCTCAGGATGCCCCACGTGTTGGCCAGCACCGCCAGGCCAGAGCACACCAGCCAGGCCACCGCGTTGTTGTGCAGGCTCCGTTCGTGGTTCATGATGGATGGCGAGGTGGGCGCCCAGCCGGGGAGGCCAGATGAGGATGGCGAGCCAGGAAGAAGGCGGGCAGGGGAGGCATCCTACCGGAGAGGCCACGCCATCAGGGGTGGGTCCGAGGAGGGGGCGCCCCCCACCTGCGCACCGACAAGCCGGAGTTGACAGGCATTGTGTGGTGGCCCATGTTTCTGAAAGAGAAGAACAGTTTAATTTAATTTTTAATTTAATTTTATATTTATTGTAATTTGTTTTATTATTTTATTTTATTATTCTATTCTGTTCCATTCTATTCTGTTCTATTTTCTATTCTATTCTATTCTATTCTATTCACTAAATGTGTTAAAAACCTGGACAATCCAAGGAGCTTTGAGTTTTCCTCGTCCCTTCTCACTGCTCCTTCCTTGCATGTTGTGACCTCCAAGCTGCAAATCCACCTTTCTTGCTCACCCTTTCCAAACAACCCATTTTATTTTTTATTTATTAAATTCTTATTCATTAAGAATTTGTTGTTTCTGCATTTCTGCCTTGCCTTCTCGGCTGGGGAAAAAAAAAACCTATGTGTTTAGTATTTTGTATTATTTATTGATTATCATTTATTTATTATTAAATTTGTTAAAAGCACGGACAAGCCCAAAAGCTGCAGTTTTCCTCTCCCCTCCTCGTCGCTCCTTCCTCCCGCGGTTAGGACCTTCGAGACGCAAACCAAGATTTTTGCTCCCCTCTCCAAACACGCACGTCATTTTATTTTAAACCCTTATTCATTCAATTCCGTAACATTTCTCAGGGTTTCTGCATTTTTGCCTCGCCTTCTCAGCTGGAAAAGAAATCTCGTCCAACCTCAGAAGAAATATTTCTTGCCTGCCCTGGATTTAATGTTGAATCTGCCACGTTTCCGGCAGCTATAGCCGAGGCTAAATTAAAATATTGTTCTTTTCTTTTCTTTTTTTTTAAATAAACGCTGTGCATTTCCCAAAAACGGGGGTAAAAAAAAAAATCAGCCTGGAATATTCCTTGATTGGCTGGGTTTGGCTGTAGCTTGAACCAAAACAACAAAGAAAATTCTCCAAGGAATTTGCAGAGAGAAACTGCCAGAAATAGAATTCGCTCTCCTCAAATATCCCGTTTTTTTCTCTTCGTTTGGTGGAAGAAAACCGTCTCAGGCTTTTTAAACTGTTTCCCCCCCCCCAATTTTTCATGCAGATAGTCCTCAATTTACAACCACAGGGGGGGCGGAAGTAAGCAATGCGGCCGTTAAGCGATTCACCACTGATTTTTCAAGCTTTTCTCCTGGGGTGCAACAGTTCAAAGTGACAACGGCACTGAAAAAAATGACTTGCTGGTGGAGAAAAATAATCACTTTTGAAAAGTTAATTTGGAAAGCAAAGACAAAAAATTCCTTCTCAGCAACGGAAAAGCATCTCAGCCTCCCGATTTGTTCTCATCAGCATCTTTCGTTTTAATTTTTTTTTTCCTTTTTAATCTGCTTTCGATCCTTAAACAAATACCAGTTTCGGCCTTAACTGTGGCTCTTTAAAAAAAAAATAAAAAATAAACTAGAACAAGCCAGAGCATTAGCACATCCTGGCAGTTGGTTTTAATCCCAGTTTCCTGAACAAGCCATAATTACTTTTGTTGGGTTGACCTGCTGAAAAGCCACCGTAAATTAAAAGCCAGGCCACCCATTCCGGGGATTTATTTCCAAATAGATAAAAGCAGCAGTACGTTTAACTTCCATTTGGATTAAATTTTAATTTGCGTTCTGTATAATTAATAGCATTATGCGCTCTGCTGCATTTACTGATTTGGGGTCTGCGCCAGGATGTAATCCCTGGTTTGGGAATAATGGCCTGTAAGGAAGCAGCCGGCCCCCAGTTCAAACCCTCTCCCTAAAATAATTCTACCAGTCCCCCCCCTCATCTCTCTCTCTCTCTATTCCATCTATCATCTCTTATCCCTATTATCTGTATATCTTCTCTTTCTCTCCATATCTATCACTTATCTCTCTCTCTGTATCTCTCTCTCTATTCCATCTATCATCTCTCTCTAGTCTGTCTGTCTATATGTATCTTCTCTCCATCTCTCTCTATTTCTCTCTCTAGTCTATTTGTCTATATTTATCCTCTCTCGATCTCTAGCTCTCTATTTCTACCTCTCATCTATCTATCTTCTCTCCATTTCTCTATCTCATCTGTCTGTCTATCTATCCCCTCTCTCCATCTCTCTATTTCTACCTCTCTCTCTCTCTCTCTCTCTCTCTCTCTCATCTATCTATCCTCTGTCTCCATCTCTATTTCTACCTCTTCTGTTTATCTATCCTCTCCATCTCTCTATTTCTACCCCTCTCTCTCTCATCTATCCTCTGTCTCCATCTCTATTTCTACCTCTTCTGTTTATCTATCTTCTCCATCTCTCTCTCTCTCTCTCTCTCTCTCTCTCTCTCTCTCTCTCTCTCTCTCTCTCTCTCTCTCTCTCTCTCTCTCTCTCTCTCTCTCTCTCTCTATCTATCTATCTATCCTCTCTCTCTCTCTCTCATCTATCTATCCTCTCTCTCTCCATCTCTCTATTTCTACCTCCCCCCCTTCTCTCTCGGATGGCAGCCTTGTGGAGCATCAGCCTCACCAGCGTGGGGAGAAAAAGTGCCAAAAAAATTCCACGGAAGTCGGTTTAAGATTTAATTGGGAGCGACAACTAAGCCAGCTCTGTTTTTTCGGCCCGCACAGCCATTTTAAGCCACGGGTGAAGATCTTCCTCATGGTTTATTAGCCCAGCTGGGTAAAAACAGCGGGAATAAAATTGCTCCGATGTGGGTGGGTTACGCTGGAGAAAGAGCAGCGCACCACCAGCTGGGAAAATAAATAACTTTTTTTAAAAAAGGGCTGCGTTTTTCACTTTAAGTACAACAATACAGAGAGTCCTCCACTTACGATCATAATTGAGGCCAGAATTTCCGTTGCTAAGCAAGGCGGCTGTTTTGCCTCATTTTACGGCCTTTCTTGCCACACGTTAAGTGAATCATGGCAGTTGTTAGTCACCCGGTTGTTAAGTGAATCCAGCTTCCTCCCATTGACTTTGCTGGTCAGAAGGTTGCAAAAACGGATCTTAAAATACCTGTGTTTGAAAAAAGTATGCTTGAGGACTAGCCTCCTTTTTAATAAAAGAACTGCTTCGGTTCGTCGCACAAGCCCTGCAGAATTGTGCTGCCATGGGCCCTCTCTCCTTGCCAAGGGGGTTCGCACAACACCCTCGCCTCTAAGCCCTGCTTAAACCACACAAAAGCTCGCCGCAGGGGGTTGGACTAGATGACCTCTGGGAATCCGCTCCGAATTCCCGCATTCGGCTACAAACGCTGAATAAATCCAGGATAAACCCCGCCGTGACATAATCTTCACCGAACAACGCACGCTGAGTCACAAAGGACTCATTTCAGCCCACGCCAGCCCGTTGTGAGGACCGGCCCATGAAAAAACACAACACACACTGTGGGATTCACACTTCGATCGCAACTCCAAGTTCGGAAGCCTGTCACAAATATTTCTGACGGGAAGACGGTCGGTTTCTTTTAAGACTCAGCACAGGAAAAAAGTGTGAATAAAGCCATTTTTAATTTTTGCACCGTTTCTCTTTATCTAGGCCAGCCTGGCTGCAAATTTTTGGTGCTGCAGTTCAAACCACCTGGGAGAAGACTGGATTGAGCCCCCAAAACGGTTGTTAAGTGGATCTGGCTTCCCTCTTGGCTTTGCTTATTGGTAGGTCGCAAAAGGGGATCACGTGAACCCCCCCCTCCTCGGGGCGCTGCGACCGTCATAAATAGGAGTCAGTTGCCAAGTGTCCGAATTTTGATCCCGTGACCACAGAAAGTGCTTTTTGAAAAGGAAAAAAAGTGGGGGGGAAAAAAAACCGCACAACAAATTTGGACTTGGTTTAAAAGCCATGCATGGAAGGGTGGGGGGCAGAATCCCAGCCCCCTCCCCTTAAACTTTGCTTTGCTCATCCGAAAAGCCTATTTTTCTCTCTGAAGAGATTCCCCCCCCCTCTATTAACAGGTCTCTGGTGAGAATCCTCCCCAAGCAGGAGCAGTCTATCTGAATACCCACAGGTGCTCTGAAGGCTGCCCAGCCACCGATGCAGGGATGGGGGGGAGGAACCCCTCCTTAGATCAGAGTTTCTCGAAAAAATTGGGGTCTCCGCGTCTCCAAAATAATCCAGCTTCGGTTAATGGGATGGGGTGGTGGTGTCTCTCTATCCATATTGAGCGCATTGGACATTAAAAGGGAGAAATGTTAAAAGCTGGGTTGGTTTGAGATGGGGGGACCCCCTGGAAGGGTGTCAGGGACTGCTAGGGGGGTCCCCCAAACCTCGCACCGAATCCTTTCAGACACAATCCAGATTAAATTCGGCTGGCCTTTTCCAAAGCACTTTCTCCGGTGTTAAATGACCCCCTCCCACCTTGCCTGGATTAAACCCCCAGCTGTTGCAGCGGCTCCCGGGCGCTACTCCGGATCCCATGCGCCACGTCCCCACCCACCGCCCCCCCTCCCTGCCCCCCAAAATCCAGGCAGCCCCCTTGCAAAAGCGCCCGTTAGAGTAGACCCCTCCCAAAGCGATCCCGCAGAGATACCTAGGATGGGGGAAGAGGGGAGGGTAGAGGGACTTAAAAGGGGGCGGGATGCCCCCCCGTTCTGTAGGGGAGGGGGGCCCGCCTTGTCCACACCCCCTTCCGCGGAGGCGACCCCGCCCCCCACCCAGCCCCGATCCAAAGCTTTTATGTAAGAGAATCCGCAGCGGAATTCAGAACGCGATGCCAACCCCCCCCGCCCCCTCCGCGCCCCCCTCTCTTTTTTTGGCAACGATTAAATCATTTGCAAGTCCCGGGGGAGGGCACCCGCCTTGTCCCCCCCCCCTCCTTGCAGCGAAGGGGACGGGGCAGCCGCTACGTGCCTTTTGGGGAGGGGGCTGAGACCCCCCCCCGGGTGTGGCGGAGGGAGGCTGCAGAGAGCAGCTCAGAGGGAGCGCTTCATTTGCAACCTTCTGGGGCGGAGCGCGCCTGGCAGCCCCCCCGTTGCAGGCGGGGGGGCTCCCGGGCGCCTGGTGGGGAGATGACGCGGGGGGGATCCCCGATGGGGAGGGAGGGGCGAGTACGGCCGCCCTGCGGGGGTGGGGGGAGGAAAAGAGCTCCGCGGAGGCGCCCGCGGGCGCCCCGGCTGCCGCCGCGGGGACTCACCTGCGCAAAGGTGAGCTCCGGCTGTCCCTGCGCCCCGCCGGCTCCGGCGCCGCTGCCTGCGCTCCCGGGGGCCTGGCCGGGGCTGGGCTGGGCGGGTCCGGGGCGGGCCAGCGCATGCTTGCGGCTCGCCTGCCCTCCCCCGCGAGAGGCCGGCCCCTCCCGCAGGATGGGGGACCCTCCTGGGAGACCCTCCGCCCGCCCGCCGGAGGGAGGGAGGGAGGGAGGCGCAACTCCGCCCCCCCTCCCCGCCCTTCCCTCCGTAATCTGGGGGAGGGGAGGGCGCGGGTGGCCCCTCCCCGCTTGAGGAAGGGGAGGGGGGAATTCCGCCGCTGCTGCAGGCGCGCCGGCTTGCGAGGTGGCGGGACTGCGGCTCCCATCGTCCGCAGCCGCGCTGGCCGTGGAGTTCCACCTACCCGCGGGGAGGGGGCGATAGAGCAAGGGGGGAGAGCAAGGGATTCTTCGGGGGTGGAGAGAGAGGAGGGGGCTGTTGTAGGTCTGCAACCTGATCCTTCAAAGGGTTCCTTCCTTCCTTCTCTTTCTCCTTCCTTCCTTTTCCTTCTTTCCTCCTTCCCTTTCTTTTTCCTTCCTTCCTTCCCTTCCTTTTTCTTTTCCTTCTTTCCTCCCTCCCTCCCTTTCTTTTCCTTCTTTCCTTCCTTCCTTCTTTCTCCTTCCTTCCTTTTCCTTCTTTCCTCCTTCCCTTTCTTTTTCCTTCCTTCCTTCCTTTTTCTTCTTTCCTCCCTCCCTCCCTTTCTTTTCCTTCTTTCCTTCCTTCTCTTTCTCCTTCCTTCCTTTTCCTTCTTTCCTCCTTCCCTTTCTTTTTCCTTCCTTCCCTTCCTTTTTCTTCTTTCCTCCCTCCCTCCCTTTCTTTTCCTTCCTTCCTTCCTTCCTTCTTTCTCCTTCCTTCCTTTTCCTTCTTTCCTCCTTCCCTTTCTTTTTCCTTCCTTCCCTTCCTTTTTCTTTTCCTTCTTTCCTCCCTCCCTCCCTTTCTTTTCCTTCTTTCTTTCCTTCCTTCCTTCCTTCCCTCCCTCCCTCATTTCTTTATTTCTAGACCGACCAGAGAATCTGATTCTGACAGATCAGGCCCAGCCTAAAAAACAGAGAAGAGTTGCAAACAGTGAAGCAACTCTGAGCGTACAAAGAGTGCTTTCCGGCCTTCCGTCTTTCGCAAAACACCCAAAGGGCAGCTGGGACTTGGCTGACACATGAACGGAAGGAAGAAAGTAGAATCGGAAAAGAAAACCCAAAAGAGAATTGAGTCGGTGGTGGTGGTGAAGACTAGAAGACCTCTGGAGGTCCCTTCCAGCCAGAGCATTCTATTCTGGCGCAAATTGGGTGAAAGCTTATAAAAATTGGGAGCTTCTCGACCTTTCAAAGCGGGGGGGGGGGGGCGAGATTCATCTGGGTTTAAAATACAGGCTCTTTTGTTATCTCAGCTGGGTAAAAGCAAATTTACACAAGAGGCTTTTTTGTGACTCTCCACCTTCCCTCTTTTTACAAAGGTTAATCCTGTTGAAGAGACCTGAAGATTGTGAGCCCTGGGAGTGGGGGGGGGGGCAGGGACCCCTCCCCGTTTAAAGCTCTCTGCTCCGGCAAGCAGATTCTCCGGTCAAATGCTTTTGAGATTCATTTAAACTTCCTTGGCAGCTCACCCATTGCGGAGTGGTTTTCACGTTAAGTTGTAGATCCAGATCCTCTTATCAATCAGAATAGAGCTGAAAGGGACCTCGGAGGTCTTCTAGTCCAACCCCCTGCTCAAGCAGGAGACCCTATACTATTCCAGACGAATGGCTGTCCAATCTCTTCTTAAAAAACTTTCAGTGTCGGAGCATCTCACAACTTCTGGTGGCAAGTTGTTCCACTGGCTTAATGTTCTCGCGAAAATTGTCAGGAAATTTCTCCTTAATTCCAGGTTGTTTTTCTCCTTGATTAGTTTCCATCCGTTGTTTCTTGTCCTGCCTTCAGGGGCTTTGGAGAAGAGGTGGGACCCCCCCCTCTTCTTTGTGGCACCCCTTCATATATTGGAAGACCTGCTGTCATGTTCCCCCCTAGTTCTTCTTTTCTCTAGACTAGCCATACCCAGTTCCTGCAGCCGTTCTTCGTATGTTTTTGTCTCCAGGCCTTTAATCGTCTTAGTTGATCTTCTTTGCCCTCTCAACCTCTTTTTTGTAACGTGGTGACCAAAACTGGATGCCGTATCTTCCAAGCGTGGTCTTCCATTTATGCTCCAGGCTATGCTTGCTTGCAAAATCAGGACACCCTGGAAGACTTTTCTGAAATCAAGATATATTACGATAGCTACGTTCCCACCATCTATTACCGAAGTTACCCAGTTCCCCCCCCCCCCCAAAAAAATGAAATCAGGTTAGCTGGATTTCTTTTTGAGAAATCCGTGTCCGCAACTGTTCTGGACAAATTCTAGCCCATCTTTCGATGAAGCTCCTTCGACTTGGGTCTTCTGGGTGGTGGGGCCGAGAGGGACCCCCGGGAGGCAAAAAAACAGTCTCTGATCCAGACGTTTAAAGGCACCAAACCTTTATTTGTGACCGTCACTGAATAAATTAGGCAAACATATACCTCTGCACAATACATACACCAAAGACGGGGAGGAAGAGGGCCGGAGGGGTGGGGGGGCTTCTGAACGTGAAGGGAGGGGCTGTGAAATCAAAGCCTGTGTGTTTTCCTGGGACGGTAAAGATGGATCTTCCCCAAGCTGACGATGCCTATCTTAAGGTTGTTAATAAAACAACCCATCTTGCTGGATCGGCTGGCCCATCTCTGTGGATGTGTGCCCCCTCCCCATCGGGCCACCCTAGACTGTCCAAAAAGCCCACCCGGCTAGCTACGATGGTGGCAGAGAAAATGGAATGGATCTTGGCTGGAAAGGAGAGGGCGGGGGCCCTCCTGGATGTTGCCACAGCCCCCCCTTTCCAGCCGGGGGTAGGGACTGAGGGGGTCTCTGGCCCAAATGTCACTGTTGGGTGAGGGGCTGCATCTGTGCTTGACGCTTCGCTTTTGTTTGCAAGTAGCGGCTTTTCCCTTCTTCGAAACGTCGCCGTTCGTCCTCGGTTTCCAACTGCAGGGGGAGAGAAAGGGGGAGGGGAGAAACAAGGGGGGGGTAGAGGATGAGGGTGGGTGAGTGGGTGGGCAGCCCATGTCCCCACATAGCAGTAGGTCTGGCTTCCTTTGCCAGCTGCCAACTCAGGACATCCAGGAAGGACTTTGTGAAATGCTTTTCTGAAATCAAGATATATTACGATTGCTACATTCCCACGATCCACTATGTAAGGGGAGGGAGAGGGGGAGAGAGAGAGAGAGAGAGAGAGAGAGAGAGAGAGAGAGAGAGAGAGAGAGAGACCTCAGTGTTCCCTTCCAGCCTTTCCATTCTAGGCTTCTATATTTCAGTTTGGCTTCCTGCATTGGGCAGGGGGTTGGGCTAGATGACCTCCCGACCAGCAAAGGATTCTATTCAATGCCAGCCAATTCCTGGCATTACCGATCAGGGTGAATCGGACTGCAGGGCCCAAGAACTTAATTCAAACTTTTTTCCCTCCCCCTTTTCTCTCTTTTTCCCCTCTTTTTTCCTCCAATCTCCCGCCCGGGATGGGAGACTTTTAGGATGACCGCCAGGAAGGGCTCCCCGCTGGCACACTCACGCTCTACAAATCTTTGGGCTTTCCCCCCCCTCCCGGCGCTTGGCACCCCAGGAGCCCTTTGCCAGCTGCGTGTGGGCACCACCGGCTGTTGATCAGCGCTTAGGAGCTCATTAACGGGGTGGGAGCCGAGCTGAAGGTCAGGAGGGGGGGCGCTGGGTGGAGGGGGAGCATCGCAGCAAGAGCCCCCATTCTCTCCAGCAGGGGAGGCTGGCCGAAGCCCCATGGCGGGGGGGGGAAGATACGTCAGGAGAGCCCCCCCTGCAGCTCCTGGAAGTCCCAGTGGGGAAGCTGGGAGGTGGGGGGGGCTGCCAGATAGGCTGGAGGGGTGCCCTGCCCCCCCAGGATGGAGAGGGGCAGGGAAAAGGTTTGTTTGGCGGGGGGGGACAACTTTTGGGGAGGGTGAATGGGACTCAGAGGGCCCGCAGAAACGGGGAAGGGGAAGGAAAAGAGGGAGGGGGGAGAGATGGAGAGAAAAAAGGATGGATGGATGAATGGGAAGGAAGGAAGGAAGGAAGGAAGGAAGGAAGGAAGGAAGGAAGGGTGAGAAAAAATAGGATGGATGGATGGATGGATGGAAGGAAGGAAGGAAGGAAGGAAGGAAGGAAGGAAGGAAGGAAGGCAAGAACACGACAGGGAAGAAAGAACAGAGAAATTTTTTTGGGGAAAAGAGGGATTTAAAAGCCGGAGATGCACGGAAAAACAGATCAAGGGTGGCTTAAAACACACAAACACACACGCTCAGGCCCAGATCCCAGCCTTCGATGCCACAACGGAGGATCACGGAAGTGTGTGTGTTTGTGTGTGTGTGTGTGTGTGGGGAGACCAAGAGACATAATGTATAAATCGAGGAACAGCACTTCGCCCCCTCCTGCGTTGTCGGTTTTTATCTTGGCAAGTTGCGATCGCTAAAAATAGATGGGAAGGCAAACCAACAATAGCAGGTGGGGGGGGAAAAGGGGGAGGCAGGAAAGAGAGATGGAGGCTGATGGGGAAAAAAACACGAGGAAATTCAAAATTCACCCGCTTTGCAATAATTGGCCGCAGAAGGACCCCGAAGAAACCAAAGTATAAAATATAAAATATTTTGGTTGTTTATTTGTTTTTGTGTGTGTACGTACATATACACACACATATTAAAACAATAAAAGTGAACACCAGGGAAAGTTAAAGTTAACTTTCCCTGGTGTTCACTTTTATTGTTTTACTATGGGTATGCCCAGGGATCATTCATCTGTTTTTAGTGTCATTTGTAACACACACATATATATATATAAACAAACAACCAAAATATTTTATACTTTATACTTTGGTTTCGCTGAGCCACGGCCCACCTGTAGGGGTAGATTTTTCAGCCACGCAACGGTTCGCTTGCGCATGGAAAACAGCCACCTTCGGGGGTCCTGGAGCCCACTCCCCCAGTTTTGATGAAACAAGCCCTCAGAGATGTTGTGTGGGCTTTGAAACAATTCCCCGTTCGAGCGACCCACAAAACCAAACTCACCACCAGCTGCGGGACGGGCAAAGGCCTCCCCTCCTTGCTAAGGGACACGTAGGTGAAGAAGGCGCTGACCGCCCGGTACGGCCCCTGGGGTTCCCCCACGAAGCGATCGGCGTCCACAAAGACCTCAATCTCCATGGACTTGTTGCTGGTGAAGGTCATACGGCCAGAAATGGTGAGGACGCTCCCTGCGGGACGGACGGAGAGGACATTTGTGAGCGAGGGTCTTCTGGGGGTGAGGATGGTCTTCGCGAAGGGCAACTGAGTTTGGACTTTGCGGGGGATCGGTTTGAGGACAGCTGATGGCAACTCCAAGGGGCTACACTGAAGGACGAGGGCCATGACCTTCTCTGGAGGAGGTGAAGTCACTTTTGCGAAGGGCCTGGTCTTCTGGAAGAGGAACCAAGATCAGGTGGTCCTCAAGGAACTTGACTTATCCTCAGAGGAACTTGAGATGTTCCTTGAGGAACTTAAGATATTCCTTGAGGAACTTGAGATGTTCCTCAAGGAATTTGAGATGTTCCCCAAGGAACCTGACTTGTCCTCAGAGGAACTTGAGATGTTCCTTAAGGAAGTTGACATATCCTCAGAGGAAATTCAGACGCTTAATCTGAACAAAGGCCCAATGGGGAATTCTTGATGACGGAGAGGGGAAGACTCATCCTTGGGACATTCTGGGCTCTCCATCTCCAGAGGTTTTTGAAGAAGCTGAACAACACCTCTCAAGAGGGTCGAATCGATGACCCTTGTGCTGTATTTTTGCAGGGGACGAAGAGCCAGGAACCCAACTAGAATCCACTTCCACTTTTTGGAAGCTGAAGAAGACGGCAGGAGAGGACAGGAAAGCCAAGAGGCTTCTCCCATACTTCACAGGCGGAATTGCCAACCCCTATTTTAAGGAGAGAAACGGGGATTTACGGCAGCTTCTATTATCTCTCGTTTTAAGCTACTTTGGGTGGCCGGAAAGCAAACAAAGGATTCTCAAAACAAAGAGCTTCCCTCCTTCCTGAGTCCTGGAGAAAGGCAAAATCTGAGCACTCCGGTCCTCCCACCCCGTGAAGACGGAAGACTCGACATCCGACGTCAGAGAGTCCCACCCGGGGAGATCTAACCTAAATTAAGTCTCAAACGTTCGATGGGGGACGGAGTTCGCACGCAATGCCGCAAACGCTTCAGGCCAAGGTGGGCTCGAAGGGAGCGTAGCGGGCCAGCAAAGGCAGGGACGACGGGTGGTCCTCGGCTTACGACCACAAGGGAGCCCCAAATTTCCGTGGTTTAGCCAGACATTTGTCAAGTGGGTTTTGACCCGTTTTACGACCTTTCCGGCCACAATTGTTCCATCCCATCCATCCCTCCATCTTTCCTCTGTCTCTCCACCTATTTCTCCATCCATCCATCCATCCATCCATCCATCCATCCATCCATCCATCCATCCATCTCTTCATCTATTTCTCCACCCATCTATCCATCAGTTCATCTTTCCAGTCCACCTCTCCATCCATTCTGAGGCCCTCTTGACATTCACCCCCTTGAGGGTCAACCGCTGGCCGAACTCTTCCCATCCATCTCCTTTCTTCTCATCTTCCCAACCTCCTGGCTGTATCACGTCGGTCTTCAGACTTTGCCCACCAGCTCTGCCTTCCCCTCATCCTGGCCTGATCAGATGCCAGCTCAGATTTCCCCCAACGAGGCGAGGTTGCTCCCCACGCAGTCTCTTTCTGACCCTCGATTGGGGGTATTTGAAGCTAGAAACCCCTCAGGTTCCATTCTTAACCGAGACAGGAGGCCACAAGGAAAGACCGCTACGGGCGCTGGGTGACCTGGTTGGTGGGCTTGCCCAGGAGCTAGAGCAGAGCACTTGAGCTGAACCTACGACACTAGTCCTCTGGGTTTCATCTGCTTCCCAGCATCTCTGGATCCTGGAAGAGAATTCGCTGAAGCCAGGAGAGGAAACAAACCGAGCATCAGTAATGAACAGCAGATGGTGGCTTCAAGCCAAACTCATCTGGGACGTGTTCCGATAGCTGTTGAGTTTTACATTCTTGGAATACAGAATAACCGAGTCGGAGGGCTCCTAAAGTGAGGCAAAATTCACTGAACTGCCTCACTTAGCCACAGAAATTTGGGGCTGAACTTTGGACCGTGAAGTCGAGAACCACCTGTAGATCTATGGGGAAAAAAATTCAGCCGAGAGCATTTAGGAGAGAGTCCCTGATGGCTCCCAAGTTACTCAAATAAAGCAGCCGGCTTGAAAACAAAAAAACAAAAGTAGACTATAATAAACTCAACGTTTGCTTAAGAAAATAATCAAAGAGAGGCTTCCAAAAATCAAATTTAGGTTTTTCCCAGGGAGAGGGCGTTTCTCTCGAGATTAACAAGCGAGGGTCCACGTTCTCATCCAGGAAGCTCTTAAAATGCTAATTTGATCCTCTTGTAAACTGGAGGGTTTTGGAAGACGTTGGTGTGACAATCCAATCAACCCAACGGGCATCTTATGCTTCACTCAACGTGGAACAAAATGTTCCTCCACGGAGAACGGAGATTTGCTGATAAATGCCACCTTGCGTTAAAAGGAACATTGCCAGCACCTTGCGTAATATTGGCCAGGTTGCAAGAAGCAACAAAGCCAACACACAGGAGCACACACCTTCCGAAATAAGTCTTCCAGGTTGAGCAAAGCTTGACGTCGGACACCGAGTGAATCAGCACCCTGGACAGCTCTCTGTGGGCCACGTTTGAACAGCCGGGACCGCAGAGAAAATCCAAAGGGATTTAAGAGAGTAACATAGTTGGAAATGACCTTGGAGGTCATCTGCTCAAATCCCCTTACGACCACAATTGAAAAATGAGATCAAAAAAAGTGACAGGTCTTACGGACCACAAGGGTATGGGGGCCCACCGCTTACCTTTTTTGATCTTCTCGTGGAAGTTGATGGCATCCACAGAAGCCGTGACGATGTTGGTCTTGCAGTGGCGAGCGGCTACGATACCCGCTACCTCGTCCATGAGTTTCATGGTCACGCCTGGAGTGGAGGATAAGAGACGGGATTGAAGAGGTCTCTGGGCCGGAACGCTCCAGCTGGGAAGGAGAATTAGGTGGCCCTCCATGTACGAAAACAGAGAACGTAGAATCCTAGGGCTGGAAGGGACCTGGGAGGTCTTCTAGTCCAACCCCCTGGTTAAATAGGAGACCCTATACCATTCCAGACAAATGGTTGTCCGGTCTCATCTTGAAGGCCTCCTGTGATAGGGCACCCACAAATTCTGCAGGCAACCTCGAGGGGCAAACTTGATGGGGGTTCAACGTCTACCTGATCGTTGGTAAGGAAGGGGTGCTAGCTACTTCTCTGAGTGCCTTCTGACATTTTGCTTTTTTGCTTTCTAAGAGAGTTGAGCTAGCGGGAGGATCTTCTATGTGGCTTCAAGATTTCTTTCCTGCTTCCTGCTCGTTTTCACTGCCCTTCTATGAACCGCTTCCAGTCTGTCTTGCCCGTCACTAGGGGAGTCCTAATCCCATTTTAGGCATGAGAGCCAGTTGGGTGTCTTTGGGCCAATCACCAGGAGACGGAGAGTTCTAGTGTCACATTAGGCATGAAATCCGGCTATGGGATTTTGGGTCAATCACCAGGAGACGGTGAGTTCTAGTCTTGTTTTAGGAATGAAATCTGGCTGGGTGACTTTGGGCCAGTCACTAGGAGACGTTGAGTTCTAGTTCTGCCTTAGGCATGAAATCTGGCTGGGTGACTTTGAGTCAATCACCAGGAGACGGTGAGTTATAGTCCTGCTTTTAGGCACGAAAGCCAGCCAGATGACTTTAATCCAATCCCTCTCTCTCAGCCCACCTCACAGGGTTGTTGTGCGGGGAAAACAGGAGGAGGAAGGAGCATCAGGCCGGCTTTACTGCCCCAAGTTGCTTATCAAAATAACGAAGGTGCGGATACGAACAAGCCAATAAATCTGCAAGTCTCTTGAGAATTCATGCTCGCATTTCCAGGTCTGTCCGTCCGTCTCCGCTCAGCAGCTCCCGGGGGACGGACAGAGCGAGGAAACTGAGTCAACCACGGCTCGTTTTTTTTTTCTGAAATTAGGTTGCAAAAATACCCCGAAGACGCCTCTCCGGGGTGTTGCTGTTCCCACAACTGAAGTTTGAAGGGAGGCGGAGGGGGAAAAAATAATAATGGAAAGCTTGCCGAAAAGCTGCAGGCCCTGCAGAAGACAATTAATTAAACCTCGTTGCTTCCTGCGAATTGCAGAGCTCAAACCCTTCACCCAGCTCCAAGCGAGCGAGTACTCCCGACTAACGAGAAGCGAAACGCTGGCTAAAAATAGCACAACCGACACACACACACACACACACTCGCAACCAACCAGCAAGGCTTTTGTCGTCGTCGCTGGGGCCTCGTCTTAATAAAGCAGCAGGATCTAAATGAAGAACGACGACGACGACGAAAAACAAGACAAAAAAACCCCGACATCTTCCTAACACGACAAATGGGATCCCAGAGGGGTCTCTCTGTGTGTGTGTGTGTGTTTGTGGGTCCTGTGCTCCACAGCTACCGTGCTAACCCCATTCTTGCCACGAAAAAAGAATTCAGAATTAATTCCATTTAGATGATGCTCCGCCTGGCTTTTTCTACATGGGTCTGTGAAGCTGGAAGCTGAGTCTCCGGGGGACCGGAGGGATAATTTCGGTTAAATTAGGTTTATGAAGGACAACCAGGGTTGGGTCAAGTGTCAGGCAGGTGGGCGGGATGGGGAAAGCAAGCCAAGGAGAGATTTCAGCAAGGGGGGGGGGTCTCCCGTCCCTGCAAGCGTTGGTGTGTGTGTGTATGTGTGTCAATCCAGACTTGTGCGAGCAACACTGAAGGCCCATCTATTCCGTGCGGCCGGCCTGGCGTAGTTTGATTATGTTTTAGTGGGGGTTTTGCATGGGGTATTTTAGAGCAGGCCTGTTATTTAATTTGATTTTAGAACAGAAACTTGCGTATATTTATCGTGGTTTTTATTATCGCCTGTTCACCGCCCTGAGTCCTGTAAGGGAGATAGGGCAGTATATAAATTCAATAAATAATAAATAATAATAATAATAACCTTGACCGAGATCGGTTGGATCCATTATTCAAAGCCAGAAAAACCAGGGGTGAAGCAAGAAAGAGTGTCGAATATACATTAGACTCAAAAGAGTCTAGCTTAACATCCAACTTGACGCTCCTCTCGCTACTGAGAACGGGTGGAAACCCCAAAACTTTTAGAGGGACCCCTGTCTTTCACCCCCCACCCCCCTTATGCCTTGAAATTTAACAGGTGCCGCAGCATTGTTAGCAAAATGATTCCGTCTCCAATCTTTGCGGTAAGAGGGAAAAAAAAACAACCTATTTAATTTCACTGACTCGCTCTAAGTTCGAAATGTCCCCCCCCCCCCAATAAAACCTCCACCGCGTCCTCCCCAAGGAATATTTTAATTACAGGGGTCTAAATTCCCCCAGCTTTCTCCACCGTGAAAAGTTCCTATAGCAACTACTCCCACGTCTGAGGCTCATCCAGTCTCGGGGAAAATAATTATTTTCCCCTTTTTCTCCAATTAAAGGGCTCGTCCTCAGTTTACCCAAAGGGTCTTCGGCAACGCTCGGGTTTAGAGGCCCCCCACCCCCTTGTGGGTCAGAACTGGAAGCAAAGCTCGTCTCCCCCGCCCGCCTCTCTTAGCCAGTCTTCCTTTGAAAATCCAGGATTGAAAAAAAACACAATTTTTTTTTCCAAGCTCGGAAGTGGCCAAGGGCTGGGCTGACATTTAATGGCAAAGTTGAACTAATCACAAGCTGTTTTTGCTCATCGCAGTTGTCGCCAGAGATCTAAACAGATCTGGTTGTGTGTAAATGCAGTCTTATGTTCCCAAATTGGAAAAAATGGATTTTTTAAAATCTTTTTTAAAAAAAAATCTGTTTGTTTTCAAGGAAAAATGGCGGACAGCCATCTGAGCCGGATGGTATAAGGCCCTGTGCCTTGAGGAAGGGGGTTGGGCTAGAGGACCTCCGAGGTCCCTTCCAATCCGATGATTCTAAGTGCCACGTTCACATCTGAATCTGTTTCTGGACCTTCCTCGCTCAGGTGGAAATTAAGAGCACGCTTCTCACACACTTTTTTCCCCACACTTCTATCTTGAGCCTTGTGACTTCCGCGCACTTGTAAAAATAGAAAGCAGAGCACAATAGGGAGGGACGCTACCTCCCTCGCCAGGGGCTGGGCACATTATTGTAAATTCTGGGATGTTTTATCATCTGCACAATGTGGAAGATTTGGTTGCCCAAGAGGTCCACGCTCCAAGACTGAGGAAGCCCTCAAGGAGCATCTGAGATGAAGGAACAAGGTGATCCTTCTTTTGCAAGTGGACAGCGAGAGGTTGAAGACGTAACGCCAGGTGGGGAAGAGTAAATTGAGCTTTAAGGGTGGAAGGGTGGGACCCTTCAGAAGAAGCCAGAGGAACACCAATACGGCCCATAGGAAGCCAACAGAAGAGGTTCTCCTAGGACTCACCTCCATGCACAAATCCATGCATGGTGCAATCGGATGGTCCCACCAGATGGATGAGACTTGACTGGCTGTATCCAATGGTGTAAGGCTCTAGAAACAGAAACAAGCAGTTGAAGGACAAGTGAGGATGCAACCCAAGGACCCAACTCTACCCTTTGGAGTCTACAAAAGGTTCCTGGAAGGGGAAGAACGGAAGGAGAACCAGGCTGGGCTCAACTCATCAAAGGACGGGTGGCCTTCAGAAGTGGCCCTTAGTCTACTTTCAACCCCCCTTGACAAGGGACGTTCTACCTCCTGCTCAGTGTCTTCTCTCCCATCCCTGCTACTTGAGGAAGAAGGATTGGGGTGAAGGACAATGACTTAATGGCCACAATGTTCTCTAAATTTGCTTTCTGACCACAATGTTGGCTTAACGCCCCCGCCCCAAATGGTGATAAAATTGGATGTGTCACGTGGGTGATTCGATTTACGACCGTTATGACTTCTGACCGTGATAGTTAGACTTCCTCATGGTCACGTCAAGGAATTCCTCTCTATATGACATGGCTACCCTCCTACTTAGCAATTCTGTCCTTTTCTAACCAGGCGGAACTCCTTAATTGTTTCCAAATAATGATGTATTGAACAATAAATAAAATACACTGATATTACAGGAATTCACTTTCGTTATTAAGATATTTAAAGCACTTTGTGCTGAAGGAAGATCCTTCAGTCAGGGTGCAAAGCTAGTTCAGCAGTTCCCCTGGTATTAAGCCAGGCGCAGAACTGTCGGCTCTTACAAGCCATAATTCACAGACCTTAACTAACTTAGTTCATCTAAACAGCCTTACCTTTACTTTGCCTGTCTGGAAAGCAATGAAAAGAAACAGAGACAGGCAGATAAGCAGAGTGCAATTTAATGTAGAAATAATCAGCTACAAGAGGAGAGCAAATTGGGGAGCAGATTGGGGAGTCCTGTTTAAACCCCGTTTTTTCACCAGCCACCTTGAGCAGCGAGTTGCACTAGAAGACCTCCAAGGTCCCTTCCAACTCTGTTACTCTTATTTCTGTATTTGTTCACTCAACTCAACTCACTTCAACCCAACCCAACCCAACCCAACCCAACCTCATCACACCCCAAGCTATTAAATCAACTCAACTCAACCCAACCCAACCCAACCACAGTCCAAACTACTAAGTCAACTCACTTCAACCCAACCCAACCTAACCCAACCCAACCCAACCCAACCTCACCACATCCCAAGCTATTAAATCAATTCAACTCAACCAATCCAATCACAGCCCAAACTAAGTCCAATTCAATTCAACACACTTCAACCCAACCCAACTCAACCCAACCCAACTCAACCCAACCCAACCCAACCCCATCACACCTCAAGCTGTTAAATCAACCCAACCAACCCAATCACAGCTAAACTAAGACAAATCAACTAAACTCACTTCAACCCAACTCAACCCAATTCAACTCAACCCAACCCAACCAACCCAACCTCATCACACCCCAAGCTATTAAATCAACTCAACCCAACCAACCCAATCACAGCTAAACTATGTCAACTCAACTAAACTCCCTTCAACCCAACCCAACCCAACCCAACCCAACCCAACCTCATCATACCCCAAGCTATTAAATCAACTCAAACCCAATCACAGTCCAAACTACTATTTCAACTCAACCCAACCCAATCATAGCCAAGGCTACTATGTCAACTCAACCCAACCCAACCCAACCCAATCACAAGAATCATGCAAGTCTGAAAATAGAAATCTCCTCCAAAACACACATGTTGGAAATGCAAGAGATAAATAAACGTGTAGGCAGGTCTCTCCATGCCACCCGGGTGCCCACCGTACCTGGATTGATCACAGGCACAATGACATCACCGTTCCTCTCTTTGGTCTCTTGACGTGCCAGCTTCTGTTCCTCGTAACGTCGTCTCCCTTCTTCCTCCTGGTCCTTCCGTGTAAACTAGCAGAGAAGTCAAGCGAGATATATGTTCCGTGAATTTTGCCCCATTGTACGACCTTTCTTGCCACAGTCCCTAAGTGAGTCACTGTAATTGTTAAGTTAGTAATACGGTTGTTAAGTGAATCGGGCTTCTCCATTGTCTTTGCTTGTCAGAAGGTCACAAAAGGGGATCACATGGCCTGGCCTTGTGCCGTCACACAGCAACAATGAAAGAGGGAGGCTTATAAGCGAATAGTCCAGAGTTAAATTGAAAAAGTGCCCACGGGGATCAAAAGAACTAAACAAGGCTTTAGAGAATTAAATTCCTTTCCCCCCTCCCACCTTTAAAAATAGGTATCAACTATTCTTCTCTTTCAAGACTCACCTGGATGGGAGGCACTTCCAAAACCTTGTTCACATTATGGAGAGAAAGAGGGACGTACCACAAAGTGGCCTTGTTGGTCACTCTCTTGGCACCTAGGGAGAAAGGAAGAATTTGTAAATAGATGGGAGGGGGGGCTGAGTTGTCCCAAGGGTCTCATTTAAAACTTGACCGAATTCCCGGACATCAAAGCTACGCAGTTAATTTTTCCATCCGCGTTGTTCTACGCCCCCGAAAGACGCAACCGCCTTTCCCCAGCTAGCAAAATACAGATTATATTTTCAAAGCCGCCTCAAGAGCTGGGGAGGGGCGTGCGCGTGCCAGGAGAGGGGGGGGGGAGAGAGCTGGGAAGAAGAAAGCAAAAAGACCCAATTGAGTTGCAAAATAATCCAGCAAATTCCAGCTCAGCTGGAAGCCCCTGTTTGTTTTTGCAACAAGAAATGCAACCCCGTGTTTCTTTTGGCAAGCCTTGCTCCTTCCTGCCCCCCCCAGAGGCCGGATGGAAGACCAGGCTTTTTTTTGGGGGGGGGGAATAAAGAAGAGGGGGAAATGAAGGACTACGCGGTCCATCATCCTGAGGGTGCAGACATCTGGGGAGGATGCTCTGCCGAGAGTTGTACACGCCCAGTCTGAATTTTGACAGTTCTTTAACAGTGGACCTGCAAGGCGTTGTTTGTTTTTTTTCTTTAAATCATTAAACCAGTGATCGCTTCACAAATAATCCTCAGATTACAGCCATAATGGAGCCCAATATTTAGGTTGCTAAATGGGACGTTTGCTGAGTGAGTTTGGCCCCGTTGTACGGCTTTTCTCGCCGCAGTTGTTAAAGGAGTGACACCGCTTTCCCCCTTGACTTCGCTGGTCAGAAGGTCACAAAAACGGATCACGTGACGCCCCGGGACGCTGTGACCGTCATAAGTAGGAACAGGATGCCCACGAGTCTGAATTTGGATCAGGTGACCCTGGGGAGGTTTTCCAGGTGTGAAAAACGGTCCTCAGTCACTTTTTTCCCCCCACTGACATTGAATGATCACTAAATGAACCGTTCTGGGGGTCCCAAAAGATCCTTGGCTTTAAATAAAATAAAATAAAATTGCTATTTAAAAAAAACAAAAACAAGCAAGCAGGAAGCTGGCTTGTGGCAAAACTAAGGACCGCTTTCCAGCATCTTATCCCTGCGTGAGGAAAACAGGATTAAAGGAGCAGATGTTTGCCTGGGGAGTTAAAGGGGAAGGGAAGGCTGTGTGTTCAGAGGGGTTGTGTACACTTTGCAGCTGGAAAAAGGAGAAGCGAAGAACTGCTGATCAAAAGAGGCCGGGATGTAAACACGGCGGAGATGCTTGCGCATCCCACGGAAGGAACAACCGAGTCAATTTAAGGGTTTAAAATCTGGCAGCAGACACACAAACACACACACACACACAAGCTCAGAAACAGAAAGGGATGGATTCCTGTATTGTGCTGTAGTGGGTCTTTTGCATAAATAGGATCTAACGATGAAACGCCTGGAGGCTAAAACACACGAGGAACGGCTGCAGGAACTGGGGATGGCCAGTCTAGAGAAAAGAAGGACCAGGGGGGGCAGGATAGCGGCCTTCCAGTGTTTGAGGGGCTGCCACAAAGAAGAGGAGGGGGGTCAACCTGTTCTCCAAAGCACCAGAAGGCAGGACAAGAAACAATGGATGGAAACTAATCAACCTGGAATTTCCTGACAGTGAGGACAATTAATCAGTGGAAAAGCTTGGGAACCCCCGAGATAGAATGGAATGGAATACAATAGAATACACAACACACATCAAATCTAGGGCGCTGGTCGCGTTCCCCAGGAGCCACCAGCGTTTACCTGTGAGGATGTTTTCCGCTTCGACCTGCACCTGGACTTCCACAGAGTGCTTGGAGGTGTACGTGATCTCGGCGCTGACGTGGGCCACTTCGCCGATGCACATCGGGGACAAGAAGTCTGTGCGCTCCACGCGGGCCAGGGCGGCCACGCAGGGCTCCTGGGGTAGGGGGGGAGTTTGAAGGCAAAATCCAGTCAAGGGAAAATCCAGATCCACATATAAGCAGGAGAGAAAAAAAAGCCAAGAGGAAAAGAAAAAGAAAAAAGAAATTTCTCAACACGCCTGACATAATCACAGCTGAAAGTACCCGGTGAAAGGAAACATGTAGAATACAGGAAGTCCTCGACTTATGACCATAATGGAACCTGCCCCTCATGGTTGTAAGTGGAGACAGTTGTAAATGGGGTCGCTCAAGGGACCAATCTGACTTTATGGCCCTTTTTTGTTGTTGTTGCAGGGAATATTAAGCGAACGCTGAAGTCGTAAAGTGGCACGGTCATTAAACGAGCAGCACGGTCATTAAGGACCCTGCAAATGGGTCTAAAGGCAGCCTGGCTGCGCAGTGCCTGACGTGCAGTCACGCCGTCGTAACTGTGAATGGCCGTTGCGTCAAGGACTGCCTGTTGCTGCTTCCAAACGGGGTGCAAAGGAACGTGAAGATAGCCTTGAAGGAAAAATATACACGGCAACGTTGGGAAGACTCGAACTCAGACCTGGAAAAATAGGAATGAAGGGGGCGGAGAAACCATCCAGCTGTTTTAAAAAGAAATGCAGTTGTTGCTTTTTATTTTTTCACACACACCCCTCAAATTATCCTACTGCGCCACCTACTGGGCAGTTTATTTATTTATTTTAGTTTCATTTTTAAGCTCTTTCTTTCTTTCTTTCTTTCTTTCTTTCTTTCTTTCTTTCTTTCTTTCTTTCTTGAGGAAATCAGGCTATTGAGATTGTGGCATTTTTTTTAAAAAATTTTTTGTATAATTGAAAGGAATTGGCACATTTTGGAGCAGCTCTGGCAAGTGTGTGTGTGTGTGTGAGTGTGTAGATTAAATATTTGATGATAGCCGGACATGTTTAATCTGACTTTTCAAAAAATTCTTCCGCATCTGCTTTAACTAGAAGCTATTTAAAAACGCAGGAGGTTGAAAAATACATCTGTAGATTTTGTTTTATAAGAGTCGAGGTTATCTGATGATGGTGACGATAACCTTTATTGTCATTTTTTACTGTCGGCACAACGGCACACATTAAAAATGAAATTTAGTCGCTTGCTCTCAAAGTGTACACATACACAACACACATTTAAACATACTATGTACAACACATGTATAGACCTACACCCTTACATATAAGTCACATATAAATCTGAGCCTACTGTAAAATCCAAACCAGGAAGAGATACTTTGAACATGTAAAAAAATGGGACTTGAGAGCTGAAATTCCTAAGATCTCAGTGGCAACTGGCAGATATTTTTTTTAACTAGGGCTGTAAAAAAGGTCTTTTAATAGCAAATCAGTGTTCCGAGAGTGGTTGTGTGAATAGAGACCACCTACCCCAGATTGTGAGTTGCAGTGGCGGGTGCTGATGATGGCTCCGGCCTCCTCGATCATTTTTAATATGGTCCCTCCGTGCACGTTGCCGGCAATGTTAGCGTCGTCCGGGCGCATAATCCTAGAGAGAAAAAACAGAAGAGCTGACCAACAGATCGGCCTCGACTTACGACGGCGTGGGAAGAAGGGTTTTAACGGCCGTTCCTCGCGCTTACAATCACGGCAGTCATTTTGCCCACTTGTCATTTGAGCCCTTGGCAACCACTGTAAATCTGTGCTGGTCTACGACCGCCATAAGTTGAATTGACGGAATTTTACTTTAAAACTCGGGAGAAAGATTTTGAAGGGAGGAAAAAAAACAGAATAAAATACGCCCAGCACTGCATTTAGACTGCCTTGTCCTTTATTTTGGTCTGTAAATATATCCCGATTGATGGATTTCCTTGCTGAGTGTAATACCTAGTCTTCTGCTCTCGGCCCCATGGTGGCTTGGAGATGGGTGGGATTTTGATTCCCAGAATTCCCAAGGGGAGCGGAGGGAAGGTAGATCGAGGGACAGAGATGATGGGAGGGAGGGAGAAGGAGGGAGGGAGGGAAGGAAGGAAAGGAGGAGGAGGGAGGGAGGAAGAAAGGGATGGAGAAGGAAAGAAAAGATGGATGGATGGGATAGAGAAGGGAAGGAGATGGCTGGCTCGCTGGGGAATTCTGGGAGGTGAAGTCCACCCACCTTCCACTGGCCAGGATTGAGCAACACAGCTCAGCTTTGCCAAAAATATTTTTCCAGATAATAAGCCACAGAAGTTGTTTCCGGTTTGGGTAGCTTCACTGATCTGATTTTAATATCTGTGGCTCAGAGTTAATCTGCAAAAGGAGAAGCTATGAAACTGTGTGGATTAAAACAGCTTTACCGCTTGTCAGTCAGAAGACAAATGCAACATTTTTCAAGGGGTTCATATACCGTTCTCAAGATATAAGTGGGGGAAAAAAATCTAATTTTTATTTTGCTTCTCAAGGGAGGTAAGAAATAACAAAAATGAGAATAATTTTAAAACAAAAGCCTAAGAACATTCAGGGCCAAAGTACTAACCGAGTTTAAACTTAACCCAGCTTAGAATGTGTGTATGTAGCTGTCGGGGCTTCAATTAACCTAGTTAAGCAGAGAGTAAGATCTTATTCTTATATTCTCCATAGGGAGTTCGGTAGACAGGTCCATACGCTGCACACACACAACTTGATTCACACCACCGATTTCCGGCGCACAGCAGCTCAGAGGCCGCGAGAAAACCGAGACAAGGAACACATCTGACAACAAAGCCACAACTTCAAAAGCACCCCCCCCAAACTGCATTTGAACAGCCAGCTGACCCACAAAAGGCTTCACCTCCAGAACGGAGCATCAAGAATCACAAATAAGGCTTGCAATTCTCAAAGGCAGATTTTTTTTTTAATGCGCTGCGCACGCGAGCCAGTGAGTCACCACAAGAAAAGCACAAGAATTGTCGGCAAAAGAAAAGAGCAGTCGGGCTCTTTTGGGATAAAAATCTCAGGCTGGAGAGTAAGCCGATTAGAAATTCTGCAGGGAAAAGGCGAGCTGGAGGATGCTGTAATTATTCTCATCTGCCTCCTGCTAACGAGGCACCGAGGGAGCCTTTGCCCTGCAGCCATGCGCTGTGCGTGGAAGATGGATGCGCTGCCCGCATGGGGATCCTCCTTCTCCTAAGGGTGACCTTGCAGGCCCAGGGAAGCTCAGCCTTAAATCCTGATTAAATCATTGTTAAAAGCCAGCATTTGTTGGAAAAGGCAGAGGAGGGAGTGGAGAAGGGCGAGGCCCTGCGCTGAACATTGAGCATTGCCAGGCTGCCAAACCCCTTCAGGGGCAAGGATTTTTGTAGCGGCAACCGGCACAAATCACCAGCTGCTGGTGTCGTAAAACCAAAAAGGCAGTTTGAACTTCCTGGTTTGAATTTGGTCAAGCCCTGCAAAGGAATTAATGTCATTTCACGGAGTCACGCCTCGCCCGGTCGATCCCAAGGATCAAAGTACACGATTCAGGATGAAAAATAGCGCAAAGGAGACAGAATTGCAGGCAAGGTGTTTAAAAAGTAAACAGCCTTGCCCAGTTGCCTAGGAAACGTAAGAAAGGAAGGAAGGAAGGAAGGAAGGAAGGAAGAAAGAAAGAAAGAAAGAAAGAAAGAAAGAAAGAAAGAAAGAAAGAAAGAAAGAAAGAAAGAAAGAAAGAAAGGAATTGAGCAGAGGATCCATTTTTTGAAAAGAAAAATAGAATTGTAGGCCTGGAAGGGATCTCAGAGGTCTTCTAGTCCAACCCCCTGCCCAAGACAGGAGACCTTATTGCATCCTGGATGGGTTTGACAGGCCAGGAGAAGCTTTGAGAAGTCTATCCAGCTGATAAAATCCCAGTTTTATAAAAACGAATGAGAATAAAATGGTATTTGGTTGTCACTTAGCTACTGCGAAGTGGAATTGAAATAACAAAGTGAAATAATAGACGAAATGAAATGAAGTAATAAAAAATGAAACAAAATGAAAGGGTCCAAGGCCTGGGTGCGATTCAGCCTGCTTTCCGCCTGATTTATGGATCAAAAGCAGCCAGCTGAATTTGTCCAGGGATCAGATCCACGGTGATCTCCACGATTAACCTGGTTTTCACATCTTGGATCCCCCCGCTGGGTAGGAGGAAGAGAAGGGTGCTCTGGAAAGACCCGTCCTTACCGAGACACGGAAAGGGAACAAAATGAAAACGCCTTTGCCTCTTATCTAAAATTTATATAGACGCTGTTTTTAAGTTTTAATATCTTACTGGTACACAGTCCGGAGTCCCTCGGGGGGGGGGGGGAACTGGCAGTTTCTAAATCCGATAAATAAGTCAATGAAATATTCCCCTTCAGCCTGAATTGATGAAACTGTCAGGATCCTGCTGCCTGTTGTTGTTATTATTATGGTTTTATCTTAAATTTAAAATTTTATGTATTGTCCACGTATCATTATCTTGTGGAAAACGAAAGAATTATATCTCTGTCTGTCTGTCTATCTATCTACCTATCCATCCTTCATATCTATCTATCTATCTATCTATCTATCTATCTATCTATCTATCTATCTATCTACCTATCCATCCATCATTATCTATCTATCTATCTATCTATCTATCTATCTATCTATCTATCTATCTATCTATCTATCTATCTATCTATCTACCTATCCATCCATCCATCATTATCTATCTATCTATCTATCTATCTATCTATCTATCTATCTATCTACCTATCCATCCATCCATCATTATCTATCTATCTATCTATCTATCTATCTATCTATCTATCTATCTATCTATCTATCTATCTATCTACCTATCCATCCATCCATCATTATCTATCTATCTATCTATCTATCTATCTATCTATCTATCTATCTATCTATCTATCTATCTATCTATCTATCTATCTATCTATCTACCCACCCATCATCATCTCTCTCTCTCCCCCCCCCAAGCTGGGATTAATCAATTGATCACACAGCACTCTGCCCATGCCCAGAGACACCCTCTCCCACCCACGCTTTCCCAGATGCCCTCAGGGACCCAGGCTGCCCCCAGTCCAGCCCAGTCAGGGAGGCCCGGCGCTCTGCACATGCCCAGAGGCTAGATCATGATGCCCAAAGGGAGGCGGCACCTGCTAATCTGGATGGCGGCCGGCGTAGGGGCGGTTTCGCCCGCCTCGGGGGCCCGGGACGGCTGCATGAGGAGGAGGAGGAGGAGGAAGGCGGCGGCGGCGGGAGTCCAACCGGAACGGAGAGACCGACCGGCCGGCCGGCGACCTGACAAGAGGGCGGGCTAAGGTGACGGGGCGTGGCTCCCCGCCTAAGCCCCGCCCTCCGCGCCGGCCCCCTCCCCATTGGTCGGCTTAGGCAGGCGGGCTTTTCTGGCCACGTGACGCCAACAGCTCCGCCGCTACGTCACTCTCTCAAACACCGAGTGGGGAGGGCAGAGCGGCCCCGGCGGCGACCACAGAGAGGAGACGGAGGGCTAGAGCGGCCCACCCAGTCCCTGGGGCGATTTTTTTGCAGAGGGGTGGAGAGCAGCGAGAGCGGATTGCGCTTTCCAAGGAATGGGACCCCCCCTGCATTATCAGCCCCCTCCCCGCCTATGCATGCTTCCTTGTGCAATTGGGACTGGGGGGGAGGAAGAGCAGGGTCCCCCTGGCTGTGGGTGATGGGAACAGGAGTCCCAAGGCTGTGCAGAAATCCAGGGGGGCTGCCCATAGGGGTTATAGAATAACAGAGCTGGAAGGGACCTCGGAGGTCTTCTAGTAGTCCAACCTCCTGGCCAGCGCAGGAGGGCGGCGGGCTTCCACCTCCCTTTCAAACATCCCAGTTTAGGAGCTGCTTGTTTAAAGATTCTCACAATGGGAAGTCGGGGGCTGGACTAGATGACCTCGGAGGTCCACTTCAAGTGTGCCAGTCTAGGGTTTTCCGCTCTTTGGGGGATTCCTGCACTGGGCATTGGGTTGGACTAAATGATCTCACAGGTCCCTTCCAGCCCTAGGTCCCTGTGGTCCGCTTTTTAAAGTGCTTTCTGGGTTCCCACCCCAAAAAAACTACAACTCCCGGCGCGCACTTCGCCTCCCCTCCGCCGATCCGATCCCAGCGCGGCCGATCGATGCTCTCGGCGCTCGGCAGGCTGGAAGAGTCGGAGCGGAGCCTCTGCGGCTTCTTCCGCCTGGCGCACGTGCGTCGCGCGGGGGCGTGGCCCGCCTGGACGGAAGTGAGGTGGGCGGGCCCCCCCAGGCGGCGCATGCGCTCCGGCCTCCCTGCCTTTCTTCCCCCGGTCGTCGCTGCCGCCATGGCGCCCGCGGTGAGTCTCTCAGGCGGCCCGGCCGGGAAAGCGGCGAGGCCGGGCCGGGCGGGGCGCCCGAGGAGGCCGCGTGTAGGGGGGGGGAGGCGGAGGGCCGTCGCAAGAGCGAAGCAACGCCCGCCGGGGGGGGGAAACTCATGGCTCTCCCTCCCGAGGAGGCCTCGGCGCCCCCTCCCGCGCCAGGCCCCGCCCACGCCCCGCCCCCAGGAGGTGGGGGAGGGGGGCCTGCTGAGCACGTGGGCGGCTCTGTCGTGACACGGGTGTC